CCCTAATTTACCACCCTTAGAAGTGGAATATTTTCTTGGAATTTAAATGGGTCCACATCTGAGGTACCCTCTTTCCAACAAAAAGAATCATCAATGTAAGTTCACAAATGGCGGAGTTATCTCGTAACATACATACAAATTTTTGTATGTATGTTACGCGATATTTATTGGACCAATTGGACCGCTGTCGCCTACCACATAACTCCTACGACTCTACAGATTTGGCAGGCCTTTTGTTGGACAGTTCTAAGTAAATGTGTTATAGTAAAAATATATATTAGTAAATTAACGTAGTAAACGTAATATTAGTAACGTAGTAGCTGCTGCGCGGAAGGCACCAACGCCAGACTCGTGTCGCACGCGCCACTGCGTCAAACAAACGGCACATAAAATAAAACTTTTGTAGTGCAGAAAAATTGTTCAGAGAAGCTTTTTCTATTAGCGAGACTTTTGAACGTGTTTCAAGTTCCTCTTTCTCTAGACAGGTAAGTTCCTAAAACACTAGACATACCTACCTTAATGTTTTCAAGTAACATGTTTACCATAATATTGGAAAAAATATATAATCGCAACATAAGAAATACGTCTACGTTACGGGTGTTGCGTTGCGACAACCGCGAAATCCAGAATTTCGGCCGGCAAGCTTCGCCTGTAATATCATTTTCGTTGCGCAATATCTCACTTTATGTTTCGGTGTTGAAGCTATCATCTTCTCGGTATATATCTCGGTTCTTTACCAAGAATATAATGTATTTCTTGATCTCTATGACACCAATCGTAAGTGGTCGCACCACGTGATCTAAAACTTTAATGGTTTCTCGTATTACGGAACGTTACACGAAGACAGCTGCAGAGAAGTGCGCCTAACAGTGGTTCCGAGCGGGTTGTTTGCGGTGGCGCGCAACGCGCAATTCGCTCACCTCATCCACTACACGGTGAAGTGTACTCTAAACCTATGCCAATTTGCCTACGCGAGCTTGTAAAACGCGAAACGTACCCACCGAAATAAATAATCAGCGAAGTCACCCGGCTGTCTACTACACATGTACCTAGGTATCATAATTCGCTAATAATTAGGTATAATAAGAAATGTTTCATTACAAGTCCTTTGCTGTAAACTATTCATCACACGTTACCGTTGTAAGTAGGCACCTAAAGAGATTGTGAAATTTGTGAATAATGAGACACGCACCATATTTCACCAAGCTGAAACCACAGAAAACGAGTGGTTTCTTTTTTATAACCAAACATAACGACTCATCCGCAGAACAGAGCCCGATGTGATTGTATAGCGAAGAGAGAATAAGTACGTTACGAGAATTATTTTGTTATTCAAACTAAGGCGAAGAAAAACGACCGAAATGTACTATGTCCTGGGAACAAATAGTCTTGCACACAGATCTTTATTCTACGGATTAGTCGATAAGTTCCTATTACCAAATTTACGGATTAAGAATGCAACATCTTAATAAAAAAAACGAAAAAGAAACAATGATTTATAACATAGGAAATGAAACTATTTTTCCGGATTTAAATCATTTAAATCGCGTATTTTTTTTTTCAAACAAACCGACTTTTCGAGCCCTTTACGGGTCCCATGGTCACGGTTGACTGAGGTGGTACAGTCTTCAACCAAGTTATGTCTAATATTGATGCAAACCACCCTATTTTTTCACTATAGTTACAACAGTTATTAATTAAATACCTTATTTTTAATTTTACAAAGAAACATTCCAACTTCCGCTACATTAAGTTTTACAAATTATTTTATTACTACTATGACAGTAATCATCTAGCAGGGGAACTTCAGCATATAAAGCAAGTCCTACATGCGAATAAGTTAAACATTCCACGCCAATGCCGCAGGCCCCGTATGAAACCACCAACAGTCGAGCGAAGACCTGCCATCTTACCTTACGTGAGAGGCTTACAGACAAGATCGGAAGAGTCCTCAGGCGTGCATCTATCAAGACCTATTTCAAGCCCCTGAGGAAGATTTCTCAGTTCCTGAGACCCGTGAAATGTAACATCCCCTTACAGGATGCAGGAGTTTACAAGCTTGACTGTGAGTGCGGTCTCTCTTACATTGGACAAACAAAGCGAAGTATTTGTACCCGCGTCAAAGGACATACATATGTATAGCTGATGTCAAACACCGTCGCGTAAACAAGTCTGCAGTCTGCGAGCATGTCATGGATAAACCTACACATTCAATGAAGTTTGACAAACCCCAGGTCCCTTGCAAAAGAAGTCCGTTATCTACACAGGATGCTGCGAGAGGCCATTGAAATTAAAAAACATCCTAATTTCAACAGGGAAGATGGTTTCTCCGTACCACCGCAAGCTCCAGTCAGGACTTGAGTATTGCAGTGAGCACTGAAAATCATACCCAAGTCCTTGCCATTAGGGTCGTATTTCCAGTGCTTGAAATCATACTCAAATCTGCTCAAATCCTGACTTGAGCATTGAGTAGAGTTCTGGATTACGACCCATAGAATTTATATGACGCTTCCATGTTAAATTTTCATTTGGGATCCAGTATTACCTCTAATGAAAAATCCCAAACAGGCATAAGATTGCAGTACTATATAATATGTTTTAGTTTATTCTAATTTCTATTATTAATTAATAATAAATTGAACTTAATAAAAATTCATTCAATAAAGTAATTAGTAAAACTTAATGTAGTGTAAGTTGGAATGTTTCTTTGTAAAATTAAAAATAAGGTATTTAATTAATAACTATTGTAACTATAGTGAAAAAATAGGGTGGTTTGCATCAATATTAGACGTAACTGGTTGAAGACTGTACCACCTCAGTGAACCGTGACCATGGGACCTGTAAAGGGCCTGAAATGTCGGTATGTTTGAAAAAACAAATATACGCGATTTAAATCCGAAAAAATAGTTTCATTTCCTATGTGTAACAATCGCGAATACCTAAGAACTCGAAATGATCTATAACGACTACACACAGACGCGAGGGCAACCAACTTTATGGATAATTACAATTTGTATCTTAGATCTATTAGAATAACGATAGAAAAGTTAAGAACCAAGAACGTTGGTTTGTTAAAAAAACAAATACTTATACGCGATTTAAATTCGAAAAGATAGTTTCATGTCCTGTGTGTAACAATCACGAAAACCTAAGAAAGTATATAATAAGAGTAGTAAAACTCGTTTATGCGTTACTGCGAGTACCTTGTTACAAGAGTTTAAAGGCGATTGAATAAACTCTACGCTTAGATACTTACAACTCGCCTCGGGGGAAGGAAATCTCGACAGTGTTCTCACCGGAAGTTGCTATTAGTTTGTTCCTAATAAATACTAGGGCTCATGTAAACACTTGGTGTAATTAGAAGCAGATACTTGTGCAGTTACAATGTTTTGTACGATGTGACTCTATCGAAAATAGAAAAACTTGCTTGCTTACAGAAAAGCTAGGTAGAATAGTTGTGATTGGTGGCAATAAGGCAACGACCGTCATGCCCTGTCTCTTTGTGCTGGCGGCGGGCGACACCCGATCGCGCGCGCTCATGTGTGCAATAATCCAAGGACAGGTGTGCTTCCCGCATCCCTCTGACACTTGTAGCTCACCACATGCATCGTCGTATTCACCAAAAGCAGCGGTTAAAATTGATTTCTGGAGATGACCCAATAATTACGCGTTTCGCAACTGCCATCCACGGGATGAATGAAATGTGACTCTGCCTATTTACGCGTTACGGCAAAATTTTAATAAATAGGTACACATAAATTTGCTATATTAAATTACTATTGGGATTTTGTTAGCAAACAAGTCGCAAAAAGTCAAATCGTCGCTTGAAATGAAACGAAATTGCACGCAAGCGAGCACCTGTTTGTAATAATAATAATAATAATAAAAAAAGCATGTTAGACACTTCCTTCCCCTTCAATTAGTTAGCCATTTCTCATTCGAGTTACGACTGCTCGGTCACATCGGTTCCGGCCGAGTATCGCCGATCGATCCAATCATTTCGAATTACTCGCTCTCGACGAGGTGGACGGTTTAGTTCCGATAAGATGGAAGCCCGAGGCCGAGTAGAGCCTCCGACGAAACAATGCCTACATGCAAATGAATCAACGAAGAAAGCGAAATCCGGCCGCGATTTCTGCGCCGATTTTGATGTTTTTTCCGCTTTCTAGAGACAAGCGGCAAATACGGTACCGCATACAGGGTGGCGTGAGCGCGCGCGGGTGTGTTATGTTAATTAATTTAGATAGTACAATGTTCTACTCGTTAAATCAAGAGCTTGAATTTGCATTCATTACACATGACTCTCGCAACGAGGGCGAAAACAATTCTAAAGTCTAAAGATCACATTTAAGTTTGTAAGTTTCTCTACGAATTATTATTTATACCCTAAGGGTTTTTCTATTGACCCTAAACCGGACTCTGTAGATGTAACCTACCTACGTGTATCGTAAATACAATAAAATCCAAAAAAATATAATCAAGCCAATTTGTCACATTCGAGCAACGACATTTCTCGCGTAGCTCTCCAGTGTAGGTACGATGCGTGTGCGCTATCTGCACTTTTCACCACCACCTGTTTGTGGCGATACCATCAATGGAAATTGTTGTCGTTTGGTTTCTATTTATAAAACAATACCTCGTAGCACGATACCGAGACAATAGCATCGTTCTTTAAAAATGATTAGTTGCAGTAGTTCGTACCTTGCTGTGGTCGGTGTACGAGTACGTCAATGCCTCGATCACTATTATAATTACTTGGGTATGAGCACCTGACAATATAGACAAATATATTTAGGCCAGACTGGCACAAGATTGGAGACAAGCGCTAAGCAAAAGAAGATCCTGCTTTCGTTAGCGGAAGCTTTAAATTGCGACGTTTTATGAAAGTCACACAGACCTGTCGCAGACCAGTGTTGTCAGTGCCGTTACCCTTCCACGACTGACTACGTGCACCCGATCTAGTACATATCCTGAAGGGCTCTTTTGCTGCAGACGCGCCGCGGCTGCTGCGCCGGCGCAGGGCGGGCGGCGGCGGCATGCGCGCGCGGCCCCGGCGGTAGCGGCGCCATGGCCGCGCCGCGGGGCTGCCTCGCGCTGGCGCTGGCTGTGCTGCTCTCGGCGGCGCCCCGGGCTGCAGCGCAAGGTGAGATCTCGTTCACGCCGCTCAGATTAACGCCGTGATTCATTCTAACGCTCTGGAGCCACAACCCTTGCGTTGCCCTTAACTCGTACGACATATCAAACTCCAAAAACGGATTTCCAGTGGCGTGAAGCTACTTATACAATGTTAATGAAGTGTTATACGAGTATTATCTAAATCTAGTTCCAACTGCAAAAAAGACCGAGCGGTCAACCGGTTTTTCGAAAACATCGCATATTTATGTAAGTAAGTCATAATTGTTACTGGCGTAAGAAATATGTGTTAGCTATTCAAGAGTTGAAGAAACAGTTGAATAATTTCTATGCTGGAACATGTTTGAAAACAGGAAGTCTCAGTAGTAATGAGGTACCTACAACACTTTACTATCTGAATAATATAGTATTAAACTGTCATGTCGAAAACAAAACGGCAAGCAACGAGTTGCTTGGGTTTATAACGGCGATTTCGCAAGTAGACTGAATTGAGCTATTGGTGAAGTCATTACCGAGTGATGCTTTACCTAACGTATCGAGACGAAAACGCGGGTAAACTTATCTAGGTTTATCGCTGATAGTTTACACAGTGTACCTACACCTAGTTTAATATAACCTAATTGTAGTTTAATATAAAATAGTCGCTAATATAACTTGATCACGCGCATGCACACGCGCACATACAAAAAGTTATGGTCTACGTGCTGTTATATTAATTAAAAGAGTATTAAATTCTTGTCCGAGATAACTGTCTTCGAGCGAACGGTCAAGTGCCGCGGCCGCACGCCACTCGTTGGCCCATATTTCACGGTAAATAAAACAAATTTCATTCGACAGCTATCTATCACAAATTACACAAATTAGTTATTGACGTGTTTGTTGCCTTTCATAATATTACTCGTATGTAGAAATTTGATCGTTTACGTTCATGACTTGTGCAATTCTAGGCAAAAATGAATTATTTTAACTTAGGTATGGATGGCTTCCAATATACGTACCTGTTGAATTTACTTATCAATATCAATCGATTACAAAATAAAACGCCAAATCAGAGTGTAAAACACTTAATAGTATTACGTTGAAAAAAGGCATGCAATTAATTCATAACACTTACGTAGCCCACTTATGTAGACGGTGAGCTGCAATTGTTCCAAAAAAATAATAATGGCCGTGTCAATTTCAGCATAACACAAAAGCTGGTGTGTCCGATATCTACTTGCCAAGACATATTTACTCATCCAGTCGAATTCGGACAGCTCTTAGCCCGCCCCAGGCCGGCGCTGACACATTTCACCGTCGACGCTAGACTTACACGGCATGCATTGCATTTTTGCGTTATTCCTGAAAATATTATTTTATGGAATTTTCAGCACGGCTACAGTTAAGTTAAGAATGAAGTAATTAATGGTGTTTATACACCGTGCTTCATGAAAATAACTGCTACTTATCGTGAAGATAAGCCTTACTAAAGCAGTTTTGACGATAAATTGTATTCTGTACTTAAATATATATTTCATTCGATAGTGATTCTTCGCGTGTAGTGTCCCGATTATGAACTGTCTTGGTTACCTTTAAGGAATCGCATCATCTCAGAACGGAACCCACCTATCTACCACATATAAGTCACCAATGTCGTCACCGCGACTGGCCAGTGACCCCGGAACAGTACCTTGCACTGCCGTTCCTGTAATGGCTAATTAATGTGTGCACGGCCCAGCGCGGCCTCGGCCAACAGCCAATACAATCCGGCCCGACTGTAGTATACGGTCCGACCACACGCCACATTTGCATACCGCACAATGCAATTCTGTTTTAAAAAAATAACCACATTTCCTCTATTTCATAATGCACGTTACGCGAGCTGTCTGGAAACGGTCGACGAACCACCTGTGTTAATGCTATCGTCAATTTTATCGGGACTATGATGTTACAAAGGACGTAGTTAGGATCATCAGTTTACTGTAATCTTGAGGCACTTTTGAGCCTCGAACGGTTTCTGCACTAAAATTGCCGATTGGAATAACAACAATAACACTTTCAAGTGATTTGTGTGTGACAAATGCTAATAAAATTTTCAAGCGCACAAACATTTTCCTAGAGAATAGCGGGAAGAGCAGATAGATGTGATCTGGTGGACTGGATGACCTCCAAGAAGTTGTCTACTTGTTTAGTCATCCACAGCTGGCGAGAGGTGACCGGTGACCTGTGCCTCCCGCGCCATTGTTGCGCAGGGCCGCCACTTCCTCCCATTTTGCGGTCCGCCGCTACCACAGTCGGCGCCTTCGACTATATCTTTCGATGTTTCGCAAATCGCAACATTAATCGGGAACCGGTCGTTGGACCCTCGGACATTGGCAATAATAAATCATACACATTTGGCAATCAACCACCGGAGTTCTTGCTGTTGGTTAATGCCGTTCATAATTATAATTAAAGAGAAACAATGAACCGTTTTTTTATTTCAATAGAAATGGGTTGATGGGTAAACAACTTAAGCGTCATGAAATTTATGTTCGTGACTTTCTTGAGCTTTTTATCGTGAGTATTTTTCGTATTGTCTCGGTTTTCGCAAGGATTTTTAATGGCAGATATCCGTCCCAGCACGTACGACGACGACCGCCCGTAGATAACAACTTGGCCTTCACTGGACGCCTTAAAGTTCGTACCTGTAATAGATGCTTTGCTACCTAATCTCTCAGAAGCTCATTGTTCTCAGCTTCCTTTAGCTGTTAATTTTCCTCCAACATCAGGCACTTCCTGTCCATTTTTTGCTTAACCTATAATTAACGACGCACCAATGGGAATCCCAAGGCTAATAAACAATTCTTAGACTAATTCTTTTTGGAATGATCTCATCAATGGCAATTTGCAATTACAACAATTGCACCAAAGGTCTAATAATTAATCGTAAGTTGTATAAAATTCGATTTTGTAATCACTACTGCGACAGCGACCGGAACGTCGTTTCGGGTTTAATTGATTTTAAAATTAATTTTAGTCGCAATAATTCTGATTGATACTCTGGTGACGTAATCGAGGTAGAACGGATGTCGGTAATGAGTTTAATTTGCCTGTCGCGATGTCGATCCGACTTAGCCATCGCCGACCGACGGCGACGTCGTCACACTCTCTCCGTTTAACCTTTCCTCGAACTTTGTTTACTTATGTCCTATTGTGGTGCCCTCTAATCGACAACGACAACTCATTTTCATTGGCTTTTAAATAAAACCTTTTCACGGACCGTGAGAGTCTTCTAAATTCGACAGAAGTCGGAGTGCCCTAAATATGAGATCATTAAGGGCATTCAATTCACAGAACTTTGTAAGGATATTGGATTGTAATAAGAACCTATGTACTTACATTATTTTCACATTATCTACGTCATCATAAAATAATTCGAAGTACGTTTAAAAATCAGAATTCCGTTAATGAAATATTGAAACTTTATATCCAAATTGTAAATGTTTAGGATGAACATTCTCCAACAGCTTGGCAAAGTTATCGAATGTGGCACTTAATACATTGTAATAAGGTAAGTTCCAATCGACTTAATGTCGACATACAGGTAGTGGCGTAAGGAGCAAGGGGCCCGTGGGTCCGAGGGGTCGCGACCCGCCATGCGTGCTTCCGCCACAACGCCGTGTTACCGAACAATGTTGCGATTGAGAAACTTTGAACAGCCACCATCAATTGCAAACACAAGCAGTCTTAAGAGATCTTCTCTACTTAAACTCAAAGAGCACGTGTATGCAGTTCAATTTACATACTATATCAAAAGGATTGCCATTATTAAATAGCACTCCACCGCGAGACTCAGACATATTAACTAAAAATAACGGATAACTCACGTATTTAAGTCGAAGCATGTCGAGCAAAAATTCGACTTAAATACTTTTAGTTAAATTGCCATTATTCTTAATGCATGTTATGGTTTCTATGTTTATTGGCAAAATTCGTATAAGTACTTAATTAAACATCAAATGCACATGTATAGATACATAAAATACGTCATTTTCACACAGCCAGAACCTACATACAAATTATAGTAAAAATGTAAAAATGCCTAGTACGTTAATCTCAAACAGACAATCGCAAGCAAAGTGTCAAAAATCTATTATTATTTAAGTAAATATATAGGATTTTGAACCTTATTTTCGCAATAATACGTTACAGGTATCCATTAAAAAAGTTGAAGAGATTCTGACAGAGTCCCAATTTAGACTTTAATCTTGTAGATAGGTAACAATTATGTTTATCGTGAGATGGAAAGTTCCGCTTCATTTTCTAAAGCGGCGTTAGAAGACAACTTATGAAAAAAGAACATGTTGTCTAGACGGAAATCCCATTACTTTCGGTTGCCTGTCTGTTCGCTGGTCAGTCAGTCAATAAGATAATGAGCGCACTTATTGCATTATTTTAACTGGATCGGAAGCCGCAATCAGAATATAATTCGATAAGCGGCATTACCGCGAACACCTTTCTCTCGACAAACAGATTACATTATGAACTGTTGTAAATAAATTAATAGAAATCTAAAGCAAAATTTGTAAACGCTTAATAAAACTGACAATAGGCAATGTTTGAAATGTAGTTCATAATTACCCATGATAAGTTGCGACTCGTTCTGAAATTATTGTAATTATCCGTACCACTTAATTGATGGCAGACTGTCGGGGCCGTGCGCGATCGCAATCGCGATGTGCAATGAAATGCAGCACGTGCGTTTGTTTACTAACCGTGTGAAGAGCAGGCTGCCAACGCCAACGCCGAAGCCGACGCGCCGCTGACTAATTCACGACACGCTACAATATACGCGATCAAAGAGCACATGTATGCAGTTCATGCATTCAATCATAAGGGTTTTGAGATTGATTATACAAAAGGTACTTCCTTATATTATAATGATATACATGTATGTAAAAACTTGCTAAACCGAAGCTTTTATTGTAAGCAAGCAAACAATTTTTAAACATTACAAACGATGAAATATGTAACTATTAAGCATAGGCAAAGGCTGCACACAGCAAAACGTTTAAACGAGTTATCGGATTTATATAAATCGTACGCCCCATAAGTTTGTATGATGTTGCGAGTACAAAATGAGCATATTTTCTGTATTGTTAGGTAGGTACTTAAGTATTTCTCTATAAGGACTTTGATTGTAGTTGGCACTCAATTGGATTTTAACACTTTTATCGGCAAAACTAACGAATCAACTTGTTCCTTGTGCTGAACTTACCTTCTTTTTCACATGCATGTTTTTTGGTGGAATATTGTTTCTTACATCGTTGGCTCCGCGACCTAAAGAGGATGTTAACCTCCGATTGTTCCCTATCGGCAAGTTTTAATAATTTTAATTCAACATGAAAATGAAAGCGTACTATGTCGTCCGCGCCCCACATCAGCAACCACCGCCGTTTTGAATTTCAAATGTAGGGTACCCACTTCCGGCGAGGATTTATCGCGCTCCTTCCGCTCCACTTGTACCTGCCCCCTGCGACGCAGCCGATGCCCCCAGTTAAGCTGCAGCCGGGGGCTGGGCAATGATTCATTTGTAGGGGACCGCCGATAGCCCCTCTGGCCCCTTTATTACCGTAGGTAATCCAGGAGAGACGCTGTAGTGATTGATTGGTTGAATCCAGTAAAATAAGGGTGTTGATGGACGCCATTACAACATTTCTAGGTTATACCTACTACGCTTTTGTTATCAAATACACGTAGGTAACCTACTTACATAGTCTTTCATGTGACTGAGGAGAGTAGCTTTTCCCTCAAAGAATCGACTAGAGGAGCAATCTGATCTTAAAAATGTTTGCAATTTAGTATTACCTAAATGGAGTGACTTTTTTGGGTTCTCCGGTAAAAATGGGTATTCCGCAGGGCTCAAAACTTGGACCTTTCTTATTTCTGATTTATATTAATGATATGCTATTCCTTATTATTTCGACACATCCTTGATTTTTAAACAGAGAGACATGGCATTAACAATGACCATATTAATGATACCCTGTCCAAGATTTTTATTGGTTTAATGCTAACAATTTATTGTTTATTGCGAAGAAGACAAAATGTGTTAAATTTGAATTCCCTAACGTTAAATCGACTAGTCCAAGTATAGAAATAAACGGAGAAAAGTTAGATCTTATTAATAAAACAGTCTTCTTGGGAGTGTCCTTAAATAGTAAACTTCAATGGTTTCCACATATATCATCCCTGGCCAGCAGATTAAGCTCCGCTGTATATGCAGTCCTCAGAATACGTGAGCATGCCGATGTTAGTACTGCTAGACTAGTTTACTTTAGTTACTTCCATAGCATAATGTCCTACGGGATTCTCATGTGATGTAAAGCGGCATATATTCAAACCATATTTGTGTTGCAAACACGAGCGATTCATTCTGTGTACCGTTTAGGCTCTCGGATTTCTCTCAGAGAACAGTTTAAGGAGACTAGTATCATGACTGTGGCTTCTCAGTACATTTACTTAAATATTTTATATGCCTGTAAAAATATACATAATTTAATAAGGAGGAAGATATCCATAATATCAACCTTGGAGCTAAGTCCAAACTCATGGTACCACGATTTCGTTTAACCAAGGTTTTAAACGACTCTTTTACGGCGAACTGTATACGTTTTTACAATAAGATTCAGGAGCATATATTAAGATTATCATTTCCAAAGTTTAAAAACTATTTTAATTTTTTTTTATTGAAAAGAAATATTACAAAATTGAAGACTAACTGTTAGATAAGGATGAATGGAAAGACGACACGGCTCCAGAATCCACGCAAATTTGATTCAAAGTGTATTCCATAGCATTTAAGTTTATTTAAAAAGAGCAATCCCTAAAGTTTCTTGCTCGTTCTTCTCAGGGAAGTCAGCGTAGTAAACGAGCAGTAGCTTGTAGCATGTGACGTTTTCAAGTGTAAATTTATTTTACCTATGGAATAAATTACAAAATTAAAAACTTTGACCTACGCATACTGTTAGGTAAAGAGGGATAGTAAAAAATGTTTAGGGTCGGTTGTATTTCGGTCTGACATTTTGCACAGTATTCTGCAAAAGAGTAATATCTGTCTGAAGTTCGATGTTACGATGACGGTGCATTGCGATGTGCAGCGGCGGTGCCGGCGACGTCGCCGCGGCCGCCGACCGTCGCCGCTATAGCGCTGTCCATCCGCTCACGGGGTGAGTGCCCTGCCCGTCTTACATCATCCACGATTTTTCCTATTCCACCAACCCCCACAATCGCACGCACAGCAATTATTCCTAATATATTCCATTTGTACCATTCGTAGCTCTCGACACGAGTGTCGCATGATTTTTATAAATTTATTTTACCTACGTACAATTTGCACGATCAGTAGCGTGACAGAAGTCTGTAGTAGTTGTTTTGTATTAAGTATAAGTATTTAGCTGTTAGTATTTCGAATTCTGTTGGTAGACTAGCCAATAACGCACGGTGCATCATTAAACTCAAATATGTGAATGTATATAGTTTCCACCTACATTTTGTAGTAAATATATATCCATCACCTCTCATAGCCAGTATATAGTAACCTAAGTATACATATATACACGTTCATTAAGAATCGGTAGGTAACAAGTGTAAGTTCCATTTACAACGTTGCCTTCCTGGTAAAACTCGACTACTTAATTTCAAATGAAAACAAGTGTATACAGCGTTGTACTTATTTTGCAGCGACGTGTGAGGGTTGTTGCAACAACACCCCGCAATTTGCGAGTGTTGCGCCTTCTGACCCAGTTCCTTTCATCCTGTAATTGTTGCCGTCTCTAATAACTCTTCGGCGGTAGAGCCACTCACTGCGGCTGCCTCGCACCGCCGCTTCGACTTTAATTTTGTTTTTCACTTAAATTACCTAGAGTAATTTTACACGTGGACGCTTGAGATGTTCCGCTCGTGATAGGTTAGGTCAATTTACGTGTGTTATAGGCGGATAATACTCAAGTGAAAGAGGCAGGCCGGAGGTCACTTTTTATTGACATCTCGTCGCAGCACCAATTCACCACCGTGAGAAACTACCTACCTCAATTTCATATTCATGGTACCATTACATGCACTGAATACGATAATGTAATTTTATTTTATGAAGTGTATTCATTTGATACCTTTCCCTTTCATGTGATCGCGGAGTAGCTGTCGGCATACTTGGAGGTATATTATACGTTTATTTTGCATTGACGAGTAATTTCATAGATACAGCAGAACGCGCAGCCGCATGTAGAGCTTGTCACCCGGATTCACTTATTGACTTCTAAAATAAAGCAATGATTGCCATAATGCAAGCAAAAGCATCTTCGCACAGCAGACCCCAACTCATAATTCGTTATCATACAAACAATTTGTGGTATACTAAGCTGATTTTTTTAATGTGCTAAGTAATGACAATCTCGTCAAATTTAACTGTAAGCACGCCACACATAACTTTTTTACTTTGAAACAATCAACTTTTCAAGAGATTACAGGTGAATAAAAGTTATCACGGAATGCGCAATCATATTAAAAAATAAGCTGGGTATTCCAGAAACCGTTTCTACGATTACGATTTATCAGTGTGGGCCTACGGTGTGCCGTCGACGTGCCTCATACGTCGACGCACGGTTCGCTGCGCGTCCCCAATGAATGTATTTTTTGCACAACCGAGCGTTTTATTTCACCTGGAAACAGACGAAACTGAGTATTTAATATAAGGTACCTAGATATGTCCCAGAAGCCCACAGATAATCAAACAAACATGCAATTACAAAAAAGTCATTGTCAGTGACGTCTATTGAATATACTAGTGGTAAAGGCAGAGTATTAACATAATTACTTACCTGCTTTAATTAGAGCGTAGCTCTAAATAAACCCAATTGTTTGTAGTAAAAAGCAATCGCGGACGCGAACAGTACGTACTAACGTGGGTCATAATTTTACTGAGCTCGCTTTGCCTCCTGGAGCAGGGTTGTCGCTGTTGGCCAAGGCAAAAATAGGTGTTAATAACTGGGTAAAGCTTTGGAATCACAGCAGTAGGCAACAATACTTTTGAATTCTACAGGATATTCCATTACTATTTACCTGAACTGCAAGTTTTACGCGATAGAGGTAATACCGCACGATGCTAGAAAGAATATTTAGTTTATAGAACGTAAAGAAAGACAACCCAGTCTGAATTAACTTCGTTTATTTTAGAAATTTTATACGTTTCGTGGTAAATTAACGGTATTAAAGTTCATGTGCTCGGCATTTCCCTCGTCGACCGTACACCCAACGAAGAGATACCACAGCGAACAAGAGTCGTAGACGTCGGTGAAATGAGCAGGACACGTAGCTAGGCTGGACGACGACCAAGACGGTCACTGAGTGGTACCCTGTAGGAGCGAGTCCTCTCGAGGCAGACCATCAGCTTGATAGTCGGACGATATCGTCGAGATGGCCGGAAGACTGTGGATGGGACTCTCCCCGATTGAGCTGGCGTGCGAAAGAGGATGCCTGTACCCAGCACCAAGCTTAGCACTCTTTATGTATATTATTACAGGAATAAAAACATTTCCCAAATACCCAAAGGAAACGGTGCAAACCCTATAAACTTTAAGGTGGAGGAAATGCCCCCATTCACCCCTTGCCCTGGATAGATAAACGCCGGACCGCGACCCCTTCTGCTATTAACCTATTGGTACCAACAATAAGGGCATGTTATTCTTCACATGTACACATGCCTTAATTTGATTGAACGCTTGTGGTAGGTCCCAGTTCTATTGATTTGTCGACCTAGATTCAGCCGAGGGTCGATTATGTTTTCTTATTTACTAATGGCATCTATGCTACGCAACGATCATCGCTTTTAAAACTTGATTAGGTATCATAGAAGCTTTTTTTTTCAACTTTAGTGTATTCAATCGTGTGTATTCTGTCTGCATATTTCGTTAGAGTTCAATGTTCGTAAATTATATTATATATATTCGACAAAATTCATTGAACTGTAACGAAATAATTTACTAGAACTGTCTCGTAGCAATTTAGTTCACACTTTAGTCACAAAAAGAAATAATAGAGGTAAAAATCTATCAACATGTTTTCAGCGATTCAAGACAGTCGGTGTTACCTGATGAACGGTGGAGCAGTCGAGAGCTTCTTCGTCAGCGAAGACACGCCTGTTGGCAGTATTATAGGTTTGTGCGTCATCATCGCAGACATAGCCTTCATGGTCGACATTTTCTAGACTATAGTACCTGTAAGTTTTATTTGACTATAAAACATTCTGAAAGTAATTGTGAGTATTTCGCAGGAACTCTAAGTGTAAACGGCGATCCGAGCGACACAGATGGCAATATATCACTGAAGCTGCAAGAGAAGAACGCAGCGATCGGTATAGTGCCCGGCACGAAGAACATCACGCTGCTGCGGCCGCTCGACCGCGAGGAGAAGCAAGGGCCCTCCAACGTGTACGTGAACGTGAGGTGCGACAGGCGCAGGACCACCGACCCGGTCAGAATGAAACGACATTTTTTTCTTTTATTAGTTAAATGCTACATTTTAAAAGTGAATAAAAATATCTTTATTTGGTGATTTTTTTTAGTTGTTACCCATAGAGTATATATGTAATTGTACGTATAGAGCTTCATAATTCCCGTGTCGGTCCGCGTGTGGGACGTGAACGACAACGCGCCCGTGTGGCTGGGCGCGCCGTACCGCGTGCGCCTGTCCGAGCTCACCGCGGTGGGGTCGCGGGTGCTGGCCGCCATCAGGGCCACCGACGCCGACCAGCCGGGGCCGCACGCCACTATACACTACTCCGTGCTGCCCGGACCGCATAGTGTGAGCGACTGCTATCATTTTTCTGATATTTGTTTAAGGCGGACCTACGTTGCAGCTATTTCATCGGATAACGTGACCTTGACCCGGGGGTCTCTATCGCGATCTTATCGGGTGACGTGTCGCTTGTTATATCGCAGGAATACTTCGGGTTCGCTAACGAATTGGACAGCGTCCTAGTGGTGAAAAAGCCGCTGGACTTCGAGGCGCTGAACAACTTTACGGTAGTGCTGAGGGCGTCGGACCAGGGCGTCCCGCCGCTGCACAACGACACGACGTTGCGCGTCGAAGTGCTCGATGCCGACGACCAGAACCCGCGGTTTACGCATGACCATTATTCCGCCATTGTGCCCGATGACGCGCAAGAGGTATGTGAAGCATCGACAGAACTAAAAATGAATATAATTAAATTGGTTGAAGTTCATGAAATTGCCTACATGTATTTGCATTTTTCCATCACCATCGTTTTTAAAGCATGCGCGTTTGTACGAGGGAACTAGAAGTATCATTTAAATTATAGATTTCAGCATCCCAACGGTCTTTCGTAAAGTATGTAGGAATTATTGCGAAATCAATAAACCTCCACGCGTCACCGAGTCCCGATCGTTCTAGGAGAATAATATATTCGTACACGACAATCGGTCGGACGGTTCGCCGTCATTTCGGAAGCGAAGTCGAATCGACAGGAGGAGGTGAACGAAAAGACGAATCGCATCGCAGGGCACCATCCTGGAGACGCGGCCGGGGCCGGTGTCGGCGGCGGACCGCGACGTCGGCATCAACGCGCCGCTGCACTACTCGCTGACGGGCGAGCGCCGCGACCTCGTGGCGGTGGACAGGGACACGGGCCGCGTGGCGGCGACGCGGCGGCTGCTGGAGGCGGGGGACCTGCCCGTCACCGTGGTCGTGAAGGTGCGCGGGCGCGGCGGGCGGGGCGGGGCGGGGCGGGGCGCCCGGCCGGACTGACCGAGCCCGTTGCAGGCGACGCAGGTGGACAACGCCGACCGCTACGCGCTGGCCACGCTGTGGCTGGGCCGCGGCGCCGCGCGCGCCGTGCGCTTCGCCCGGCGCGCCTTCTGGGCCGCCGCGCGCGAGGACGCGCCGCCGGGCGCCGTGCTGGCGCGCCTGGCCACCGAGCCGCGCGGCGCCGGCCCGCTGCAGTTCTACGTGTCCGACCGCGGCTTCCTGGACCGGTTCGCCATCAACGGCGCGGGCGAGGTGCTGCTGCGGAAGCCGCTCGACTACGAGACCGCCGACTCCTACCACTACCAGGTCATGGTCACCGACGGGAACACGGTGAGTGCCGCCCCGCCCGCGTCCCTCTCCCGCGCTCGATTCGTCCCCTCCTCTGAACGCGCCGTGCGGTCGCAGAACGACACGGCGTCGCTGAACATCAGCGTGCTGAACGTGAACGAGTGGGAGCCGCGCTTCCGCTACCCGCAGTACGAGTTCCGCGTCGAGGAGGCTGCGGCGGCCGAGGCGGAGGGCGGAGGGCTGCTGCGCGTCGGGAAGCTCGACGTGCACGACGGGGACAAGCCCGACACCGTCTCGCTCACGCTCAGAGGTTCCGATGCCGGGTAATTCTTCCGTTTCATTTCGTGACCTTAACCGCACCACAGTTCCACTATATTTGTCTAATTTGCAGTCGACTCGATATCTTCTCACCTCGTACGCAACTCCGCACGGCATATTCGCATAGATACTTCCGCTTCCTTGGCACATTCCGTTACTTTAAACTAAGATAGAATAAAATAGAATGTAAAATAGAATGTAAAATACAAGAAATCACAAGACCGCGTAGTGGTACCTGCATAGACAATATTTAATGCACACAACATGCGCGGATGTAAAAGCAAAGTAATTGGATTTAGTGTTTCGGTTCACTCTGGACAATTAGTGGAATGCCCAGTAAAAACAACGTGTACTCTGAAACATTGGTATATATAATAAGGGATTACAGCAAGGTATATATGGATAAGTTTAAAGAGTGTGTACAACAAATAAATTGGTTACAGCTAGAAGGAATATCAAGTCCAAAAACCGCATTCTCGGTATTCTTCGAACTGTTTAAGTTATTGTATTATTTATGTTTTTCGATAGACAAAATAAAGGTATCACTTACAAAGACACCTAAGTGGATGTCACGCGGAATAAGAAGATGTAGCAGAAAGAAATGACAAATATTTTGGAAACATAGATTATCACGTTACACAGAACATAAAGAGGAACTGAAAGTGTACACAAAAAGGTTGAAACGTATTGTACAGTTGACTAAAAAAGCTCAAAATATTATTTTTAACACTCAACTCTAACTCAATAAATAAAACTAAGGCAACATGGCAAATAATAAACAGATGTAACGCTAAAATGCCTAAAATAAATGATAACAGAATATTTTACAATGATGAATATCTAACAGATCCAACACAAATTGCCAATGCATTTAATAACTACTATATAGACCAAGCACAAGAAACAAATCTGAGGAATAATTCAGCTGCAAATATACACACCAAAATACCATACACAAGTAATTCCATGTTAATGTGGCGTACGACAGATAAGTACGTTGAACGAATAATAAACAATTTGAAAAACACACAGAGTACAGGATATGATGAGATAAATATAATGGTACTTAAGTATGTATCTGAATTTATATCTCCAATACTGATATATTTAATAAACTTACCATTAGAGCATGGAATATTCCCCGAAGAATTAAAAATATCAGTAGTTAAACCTCTATATAAAAAAGATGACAAAGAAAATATTAACAACTACAGGCCTGTTTCTCTCATTCCAGTTTTAGCTAAGATTTATGAGAAAGTTATATATGAAAACATGCTGTCATACTTAGAGACAAATAAAATTTTAACCAATAATCAGAAGGGCTTTAGGTAGGGTCAATCAATTAATTTGGCTATTTACGAGTTACTGTCTATAGTTCTAAAAGCAGTAGATAAAAGTAAACTGATCATAACACTATACATGGATTTGACAAAGGCTTTTGATTACATCAATCATAAAATCTTATTGGAAAAACTGTATAGATATGGGATCAGAGGCAATGCACACAAACTATTAGAATCATACTTGACTAATCGTAAACAAATGACATGCATCAATAAAATATCGACTAAAATTAAAACTGACATATCTTAATTTTCAACTAATAGAACAGTGTAAAGCCGTGGTAGCCTAATGGTTTGACCTACTGCCTCTCAAGCAGAAGGTCGTAGGTTCGAATCCGGGCTCGCACCTCTGAGTTTCTCGGAATTTATGTACGAAATTAATTTTAAATTATTTAACACGAGCTTTTCGGTGAAGGAAAACATCGTGATGAAACCTGCACGTTGAAGAAGGTTCACAACCCTCGGAAAACGTGTGAAGTCCCCAACCCGCATTGGGCCAGCGTGGCGGACTATGGCCTAATCCCTCGTCTGAAAGGCCAGCAATGGGACATATAAATGGGTTGATGATGATGATGAGAACAGTGTTACATGGAGTACCCCAAGGAAGTGTACTAGGCCCTCTATTGTTCCTGATGTATATCAATGACTTTCCTACAACTACAAAATATCCCATGCTAATGTTTGCGGATGATAGTACCGTAATTTTTGATATTGAGAACCACAATAGACTTGACCAAGAAATAAACAATGAAATAATATCTGTAATAAAATGGTTACAAGATTATAGACTACAAATTAATCTGAGTAAAACTATGTATATGAATTTTAGACACAAAATTAATAAAGTATATACTCGATATAACATAAGCTATATGAATACAAAATTGAAGTAGGAGGAAGTTACAAAATTTTTAGGAATATACATAGACAATAATATAACACGGGAAAAACTCATAGAAATCTTGTGTATGAGAATAAATAGATTTGCATACGCTTTGTGGAGATTATCTAAAGTTGTAGACCAAGATGCATTACTAGCGGCTTACCACGGATATGTAGCCTCAATCATAAGATACGGTATTATGTTCTGGGGTAGTACGGACGTGTTGATTGCACAAAAAAGGTGCATTCGGGCAATTTTTGGGTTGTGCCGTATGGACAGCTGTATACCGCAATTTGAAAAACTGAGATTATTAACAGTTCCTTCAATATATATATTTGAAACGATTTTTTTTGTTCGGAGAAATCTCACACTCTTCAGCAAGGTGGAAAGTACACGACGACACAATAAATTGAAACTGGTTGCCTGTAACTACCCTCTTTCATGATAATATTTGTGCCATGGAGCCAAAACTATACAATAAGCTGCCTAATTATATACTTGAGACTAACGACAATGCCAATTGTAAAAAGCGATTATTTAATTTATTGACTAGGAAAGGAAACATATTATAAAGTCAGCGATTACTTAAATGACAAGAACATAGAATAATAGTTAACCACAACAAAATAATGACATAAATATAATTAAGAATTTAAATTAAAACTAAGATTTGACATTTTGTAATTAAAATGTAGTAGTATACTGTTAAATTAATTTAATTATGTAAATTGTATGCCGTAAAATTGGCAATACGTACTGACACAACAATGTTAAATGAGACCTTATAGACGTGCGTACACAATAAATGATTAGATTTGATTTGATAAAATACCGTCAAATCCTGGCGGAAGAGAATGGAAAGAATAGTATAGAAATCGTTTTGCCTTGAATAATCAACACAGTACACATGCATTTTATAATAAGAATACTGATAATGATAGTAATAACTCACTAAACACGTATAATATATAGAGTACCTACAAAGCGTGCGTGCTGTGCTGCCAAGGAAACCGTGACCCACTCAGCTTGTTGTGGTCTCACGTCCAAGTGCTACGACGTTGTTTTTCACCGGATCCGGCAACAGAACACACTTGACACGGAACATAATAGCCGAAGAGACAGACTTACTTATAACACAGGGGGCTTGCCGGAAGTTGTTTCATATTGTATTTAAATGACCATTAATTTATATTATATTATAACTAATTGTTTTATTGTTAAACATAAAAAAAATGTTTTTAGGCCGTATACAAAGAAGGTACCTAAAATACAGTTATTCATTTACTTAATTTAAGCATCACAACTACACATTAGGTTCTACGATTAAAATGTATAGCTTTATTATGTAGGTTGTTTATATGAGCTTCCTTTTTATTGTTTATTTTTAAAATAGCTTCATTTACATTTGTTTATGTATTAGATTAAAATAAAAATAAATTTATCTTATTCTAATCTGAATTTATATTGTTCATCTTCTTTCGGTCTTACTTTATATAAAAAAACCTTCGAACGGACATTTACTTTGGGTCGGTCGTTGGAGATCGGCAGCCGTTGACATTAAGGAAAGTAATAATTTCTAAGAACGTGTGTTCCAGTATGTTCTACATCAACGACAGCGGTGAGATGTACATGCGGCAAGAGGCGCTGCAGACGCTCAACTCCTCGGTGCTGCACGTCGTCGCAACTGCCGTCGACTCGGGTGCACCGCCCAGGCAGGTCAGAGTCCGCTTCTAACCATTGGTTTTGCTTGTAACACCGTGCGTGATAGCGGGCGTGCCTAGCCCAGAACGCAGAAACCGATTACAAGAACTGCAACGGGCAGTCGGGAACAAATCTGCCCGTGAGGATGTTTCGGGATGGAGGTGTATTAAATGTAATGGACTATGGTATCGATTTTGGCAGACGTCGGTGCCGGTGCTGGTGCACGTGAGCGAGCGCCTGCTGTCGCCGACGACGAGCGGTTCGACGCGCGGCGCTCTGCTCGCCGCCTGCGCCGGCGCGCTGGCTCTGTTGGCGCTGCTGGTCGTCGTTCTGCTCGCGTACATCTTCCGCAAGTGAGTCTCACCCGCTGGTAGACATCAAGGTCGATCGAATGTCACTCGAACCCTCTAAAGGACCACGGTGTAGAGCGGTAGTGGGCGACCAGGGCCTACGCGCCTGCGCGGGTTCCCAGACACTTAAAATGACCTAGGACGAGATCGTTGAGGTGCCGCATGTTCAAAGTGACGCCTGCGGTTTCATTGTTCTAGCAAACGCCGCTCGAAATCACCCCCAACGCCCAGCCCCCCCTCCAAGGCCGCCGGCTTCGTCCCGCGCGAGCCCCCGCGCTCCCCTCCCGCCTCTGCCGCCGCGGCCCCCGGCGGCCTGGGCGCCAGCTCCGGCTCTCTGCTGAGCGTCAGCGCCGGGGCCAGCACGATTCTCGCGAATTCCTCCAGCAGCTTGGACCTGAGAGGCGACACGCTGCCCGGCAACGGGAACGGTACTAGAAGTGAGTCGCGCGCGACAGATAAACGGCGTCACGGTCGGATGTCGATTGTCCGATACGACTGACGTCTCGCACGTCTCGCTCGGTGACCAGGCGCGACGAGCGGCCGCCAGTCCCAGCGTTTCCCGGCCAAGACGAAGGTGGCCCCGGCGCCGCCCGCCGCCGACGCGCCCCCCGCGGCCCCGCCGGCGCTGGCGCTGATGTCGGACCACCTGCGCGCCGGTGCCGCCAGCCGCTCCGGCGTGGCGTGGCCCAGCGCCACCATCCCCGCCAGGGTCAAGAAGCTCAGCTGGGACGACGCCGACCACCCGCACGACGACGACGCCAAGGTACGTGTCGGGCCGACCCGCGCACTCAGCCACGGCTAGCCCGCACGCCGCGCCGCACCCCGACCTGCACGATTGCAGAGTGTTAGACGCTCGGTAGATTCCTGGCTGACGCGACTGGTAGCGACTAGATGTTCGCACGCGCAGACTCACTGCCCGCTTTTAAAAATTAGAATTAGAATATTTGAGAAAGATAAACGAGTCTGATGTGTTTCTCTACGGCTCAATTTATACTGCGGCGGAATGGCATGGAAGCGAACTTTTTTAACAATATTGTACATAACTTTATGGACAATTATGTAAAGTATAAAGTATATACGAGCCAGAATCTACCGCGGTATGCGCGAGCTTTCTCGAGCATGAGCATTAAACCTTAAACGCCTCATAACTCTCTACATTTTAGAACTCGCCGATTAACTGCATGTCTGTATTTACGATATCACGTACCGAGATAGCGTAGAGTACACGAAGCGACACACTACGACACTGACGCCCGACGTAGCTAGCCTGCAGGCCTGTGAGGCCCGGCACCCCCCGGAGCGGCCCTATTCACCAGAGCACGTTCACAGGGCAGTCCGCGGCCACTGGACGCCACCAACCCGGCGCTGCACGACCACCTCAACCTCACCGTCTACTTCTGAGCCACGCCGCGCCCGTCTCCCGAAACCTCATACCGCGAATTAGCACCCCTCAAAACAAACATCCCCTGTCCCTTGATCACAGTCACGACGTAACTCAACCTACAAACAATCTTCTCCAATTCTCCCCTCCGAATAAAGAATATTTTTTTCCTCTTAGCGGTGACCATAGTCTATATCTATCGCCACGAAAGCCTGTAGATCTTTCGTTGGAAACCACATTGGCGTCTGGCCCTTCGCGAGGAAACCGTTGTATGTCGAGCGTCCAAGACGAGACACAATCTGTGACGCTCAGCCCGAGTCGCCCCCGAGCTTGCAATCTTATCATGCCCACAACATATCCACCGCCAATGACATCGTTTCTGTCTCAAGACTTGCCAAACATGACCCAAGTGACGACGAATCATCCCTTTTCAGTCACCAACTACACTTATGCGTTAGCGGTTCAGCCTCATAACGCGAGCCGGCCAATGAATATGAACATAAGTCGTAAACCAAAAAAGTATCCCAAACCGAATCCAAAAAAACTGAAAAGTAAAATCATTCTGAGTCCACAATATCTAATAACAAATGTGCATCATCCATTGATGTCGACGAGTGGTCCTGCGATCGACACATGCCGACCCTCAATGAACTTGACTCATCCAAAACCGATCCCCCCTCATCCGTTATCCCTCTCGCATCCGCCGTTGCCCCTCCGCCTTCCGGCCAGCGCTCCTCGTCTGTCTCAAGTGGACCCCGTCGCCGCGGCGCTGTCGCGCCCCAAGGGCCCCCCGCCTGAGTACGCCACCATCGACCCGCGCAAGTTGCGCACCAGGCACCTGCGGCCCATTTTCTTTCGAAAAGGGGCTAAGGAGAAACCACTCAGGTACTTGTATAGCAATGTTATCAAATGTAGGCACATTAGTTTTTCTGTACGAAAATTAAGAAAAATAAGATTGATTTTTACAACGTTTCTCCAAATTATATTTACATTTACATTTACATTATATTTATATTTACATTACATTATAACAATTTTTTTTCAGTAATAATTCGGCAAAGAATAGAAAATTGTTGGATACACCAAATTGCACCCGACCATGGCGACTCAAAGTATAAAGGACTAAGTGGTCGGCCCATCTTTCTCGCTCACACTTAAGGTGTGATATACTTAAGAAATGTCGTTCGTAACGAGACGTTTAAATTAAGTGCCCAAACAAAACCATTACCTACGCAATTAGCGCCATCCAAAAATTTTGTGTTATACCTTTGACTTCAATGCAGGAACAAACTGGTCGCTCAAGTGCGTGTTTTTCATTTAGTTATATAATAAAGTGAGAATTGAGATTGAAGTGATACCACGCAACGCTGTCACGGCTGTATACTACACACAGTTTACCATATAAGTACCAAACATGTATTCTTATTGTACATTTTAAGCTAAGTAGGTGTATAGTCATAATATACGTGGGAACTACCACTGGCATATGAGGCCAGACAGGTGCAAAAGTTGCCTTCATCGAGAGTTTCTTCTTGTCTCCATTTCACTACGACCATTATTAGAAGGTCTAGGAAACATTTAAGGTCTAATTCAAATTCAAATTCAAAATAATCTTTATTTCATAGGTAAGCATTATTACACCGAAATCGTCGCAATGGTTAAACTCTACCGCTCATTCGTAAGGTAGATTCCACTGAGAAGAATGGGCAAGAAACTCTAGGGGTTGCTCTTTGTAAATAACATTTGTACGCATTCAACATTTTCAATATATTTTTTTTTGTTTTGAAACATCAGAGATCAAGACTACCTCCATGAGCTAAACGTGTTACTACCACGGATTTTTGTCGTCCAAGTACGCAGAAGTTGTATAATAACCTTTAGTATAAAGTTTATGTTTCACTATACTTTTAAACCTCGTGAAAGGCAAATTTTGTATATCAACCGGAATTTTGTTATAGAAGCGTTTACATTGCCCCTTAAATGAATTAGTGACTTTGTGAAGACGACTATCAAGAACAACTAGTTTATTTTTATTCCTCGTATTAATGTTATGTCTGTCACTATTTTCATAAAGAAATTACTATTCCTCTTAACATAAATTACATTTTCATAAATATACTCAATAGTCTCAATAGTTTCTTGTAAGTATAAACGTCTCCTGTTACATTTTTGTAGATATTAACTTATAGGTAATAGCAACGTAGGTACTTATAATAATTACCTACTTTATTATGTAGATTTCATACATTTTATTAAATCAATTTAAGTTTGCGTTGGAATTTTCTGTTTTTCTCAAATAATTTTACTAGAGAACTTTTGGTAAGAGCTCGAATTGTTATTAATAAATGTTTTGTTTACATTTTGTATTTATTATAAATTTGACACCACACAGACTCCCGCTTCGCGTGCTCGTATTTCGCGTGTCATACGAGGGCAAGGTACTAACGATATCAGACTTCTTTGTGCATTTTACGACCGATCCTAGTAAACTCAATGACCTTTGGAGCCTTGCAAATGACAAGAGAAACTGAACAGGATTTGTGATAGTTATCTGCACCACTACATTGTAGTCGCAATGCCGATGCCGGAGCTACATCAGTCAGGGGCGAGGCGAAGAAAGCGGTTGTTGCACAATCATAAGTCAGCCACACTGCGACCGTGGAGATTCGAAATAAATGCATGACTTTCATTCCGGTTCAACGATATTTTCAATGGAGAATTACCTGCGATTATTCAAATACCTCACTGTTTTAATATCTTTGATTCACGATTTCTAACTCAATTTTAATTTTAGTTTACAAAACAGCATATAACAGACTATTTAAAACCATTACATTATATGTAAGTAATATTATAAATCAGACGTCCAGTTATAATTGTACACAACATTCATAATAGGTAAATATTATAATATAATTACAATAAAAGGAAATATAACTAAAACAAAAATTACATTATTATAGTAAAGTACCCAGTGTTGTTCTGAAGCACTTAATACTACAGAAAAAAGTCATGGTGGGAACATAATTATATATTTATTCATAATGTACAACGCATACTAACGGTAACAACAACTACACACATAAACCATAGTCAATAAGGGTTGGGTCATTCCCTGCCCAAGAGCAAGTTGCAGAATTTCGATCACAGACCGACCAACCGTCTCCAAGTAGTAACCAGTCGATGTCAGAAATTTCGATGCAGAGTTACTGAACACGTAAGTATCGGTAATCCAATTTAGAGATTCTATCAGGGCTAGAGCCTCGTAGTATGGTATCCGCCTTAGTGCCTCCATGCGGGTTAGATGTAGAGCGAACAGTGGGTGGCGTAGAACGCACCGTGGTATTGGCGGGACCGAAAAGGGATTAGAGGGGGGTTAGTGAGATATCCCCTTATTAGGCAAAATATATACTTGAGAAGTGCCTATTTTCGCCTTACGTCTAGAGATACCCAAAACGAATGATGTGGAGTATATATAGGGATTGTGCCCATGAAGTTTTTTGTACCTACAAAAACCGCGCAAATGTCTTCTGAATTTTTTCTGTCATTGTCATGTACCTACAGCCCCCGTTCTTTCCTACATAAGTTTTGATTATAGTGACCCTCCCTACCGACGACCCTTAGGGTATACGAGAAGGGCACTATAACCTGTGCAAGCACAGGAACCTTCTAAGTTCAGGTACTGACCCCGGATCAACCGTACACTGGTTGATTAATTGTGATGTACAGTTGATTGTGGGGATTCCAGACTGCACAGCGACTCTCTAATTTTCTACGATTAACCGGCGGGATTAAGCGACGTTATTAACCGATTAAGCCAAAAAAAGGAGGAGGTGCTCAATTCAACTGTATGTTTTTTTTTATATGTGGCTATGTTACACGATAACTCGGCATTTGTGAACCGATTTTGATTTTTTTCGTTGGAAAGAGAGTACCTCAGTAGTGATCGCACTTAATCAAGATCGTACAAATTTGTACTTAGATTATATAGATTAAAAACACCGACCTCAAAAGTTCATAGAATTACATATATTTGAATTTTATTGAAATTGGTTACCGGAAAGTGCGTGAAACCGGATTCATCATTTCCACACATCACATTGCCACTCTTAGAGGTGAAATATTTTCTTCAAATTTAAATGGGACAACTACCGAGGTACCCTCTTTCCAACAAAAGAATCATCAAAATCGATTCACAAATGTCGGAGTTAAAGCGTAACATACATACAAAAAAAACATACAGTCGCATTGAGAACCTCCTCCTATTTTTTGAAGTCGGTTAACAAATTACCTTACGTTGGTCGAAAAGTTTCGATTGTAGTTTTATATTCCGAGACTTTTCCCTGCAGAATTACAAATATCAATAGTCAGTATGGTCTTTAAATTTGAGTTGTGAATTAAATCTTACGCCCAAGTCACGTACAGATTGCACACGATCGAGGGGCATTCCACCGATGTTACACTTGTTTAGGATGGGATCTTTACGAGAACATGACTTCACAGAGCATTTATCAATGTTCATCCCTAAGCCGTTAACTTAGCTCCGTGCGAAAATGCAGTTAATTTAATGTCAGCCGTACATGCGGTAGAACGAAATCCTTAGTGCTCTTCATGGTATAGCAAGTTTGACATCATCCGCAAACGTAGGGTAGACGGCCGACTTTACGGGCGTGGGGAGATCATTCAATGGCAATAAAGATTGTGATAAAACATATTTAATACATTTCTACAATTTCTGCTAAATATTGCATATAATTTGTTTGATATCCCAATATCACTTAAGTAGGTACCATATTGCAAAATAACATTTCCCGTATGTAACATTAGGAATAGAGAAAGCAACAGAAAAATATGTGGGAGTTTTTTCGCTGCATCTGGCAATAATTCACGCACACAATAAATGGCAAAAAACGGCTTTACATCCTTATATCCAATAAATATTTTACTTATTAGATGAATATTTTAATGATTAATTCATTTACATATATCATCAAAATTAACAAATTAAGATTTATATCAGACAAAACTTCGATCTGTTTCTGTCTCCAGACACTTCTACGCTCTCCAGGATTTCATATTAAGTGACGGGACGAACAAGTCGTGCGCCTGATGGTAAGCTACACGCCTGTTCATAACAGTTGCAGTGCCACTTAGAGCTTTAAATCGCAAATATCGAAGGGGCACAGCCACTGCGCCCGTCACCGTGAGACACATACATATATGTAGACATAAGTTGACAAGTGCCACGTGCCTGCAATTTCGTATGTTTGATATACATAGACTTATTAAGGATACCTGCACGTAAATTGCAATAAAAAAAATAATTAATTAATTGATGAGCAGTAAGTAATAAAAGAAGGGGACCGAGACTGCTGCCTTGACCTATACTATACCAGAAGGAACATCATAAGGGGACGAATTGAAATGCTCGTACTCAACATAAGTACTATGTTTTTTTATCTTGAACATATGTCCGGAAGAAATTCATTAAAGGAGCTGCAAATTCTGCAACACCCATTTTTACAAGTAATTGATCATTGTTGACTCGATCGAAGGCCTTTCGGAAATCGAAATAGACAACAACAACCCGAGCTTTTTGGTCTATATTAGACCCAATTAGAGTTGTTAAATTCAAAAGTTGAAAGTGGTTGAGAGTTGTGGCAAAAAAGTGTTGTTCATCACAATACCATCCACACAGCTGCAATGGTATGGCCGAACAGAGTACCGTTTCGAAAGTTTTTGGAAACACTGAGAGGATAGCAATAGATCGGTGGTTCCGTATATGACTCATCGAGCGATTTTTGTGTATGGGTATAACTTTAGATGTTTTCCAATGTTGTGGGTTCACATTGGATCTGATTGAAAGGTATACAGAGTAATTTGAGTAACTGAGCGCAGTGGGTAAGTTTGCGAAGGAGCTATATCTCTGGAACGGAGGTAGGCGGTTTGTTTGGGTCAAATCAGGAGTGATGACTAATTAGTAGTGATTTAGCACATGGACGCGAGGTCACTGGTTACCCTTTTATTAGCAAAAATCTGTTTTTGTTGTTTACATCCATAGATTGTTGTATTTTTTATCTGTATTTTTTATCTCATAACAATGAGTTGTGTTTTTTGTCTATTAACATTTCTAAGAAAAAGTTTCAAGTTATATTCGGTTCAAAATATTTTGCGGTCATTATTTTACAATTCAGTGCTTTGGGGAAAGTGTATGCGGGTGTGTGCGCATGCGTATCCTTGCTCCGTCTGTAATATTTTCGGCCATTCATTTGTACAATATTTTTAACATGCTTTTATTTTATATTTTTATGCCTAATCGTCATTGAATTATATAAGAAAAAACCCAAACTTAGACCTGTTTCTAAGTTGATAAGATGTTAATAAGATTTCCTTCTGTTTTTAATATTTTCATCATTTTTAATATTTTTATATCACATATAGTAAGTAATATCAACAATACATTTCAAACATATTTAGGTTTTTTAATAAAGAATACTATTTTATTATTATTACATTTATTTCGACCACGAGCAAGCAATGTCCTCACATACCCCAAGTGCGTCTACTTGCCCCGTGAGGGTGCGCACAGTCTCCCGCAATGCACTGCAAATGCAATGAACACATTCCGATTTTAGATCTCTTATTCTTAATAGGAAAAAGAGTTTTAAGTTGTTGTTTTTATTTAAATTTAGACTAAAATAAATGCTTTACTTGAAAGTAATACCTTAAGTTCTATGTGCAGTAAGCCCTAAATTACAAAAGTGCGCACACTTGACCCGAATGACTACATGTGTATATAGCGGAGGGGTTTTACGAATAGGTACCTCGTAGCAGTCCTTGACTACAAACTGGAGGACCCCTTGAGGGCGCTATGTGAGTTAATGCTCAGGCGCTATCCTCTCGTTCCGTAAAACAATTACGGGAGAGCGGGGCTGAACGTTCCGATTTTCAAATAAGCTGAAGTTTTATATTGAAAATGAAGGATTTGATTTTCTACATATGGAAATATTGAACAAAAGATTTTTTAAATCTTTTTGTAATAGTATGGTCACTTCTACTAATATCTCAATAGTCTTTTTCATAGAAGCAAATTTTTGACAAATTTCGGAGCGGAACATTTGGCCCCGCTTTGGGGTACGTTGTTCCGCCTATGAGGCGAATTGTTCCGCCTAAATTACCACAGGATAACAAGGTTTATTTTTTTAATAAAACCGCCTTTTTATGATTGTATGTATGTAATGTTTAGATTATGCACAACTAACTTAAAAAAAAACAACTACATTCTTATTCATTGCTCATTTCTTCATCTGAATCACAGTTGAGACACACACAAGGGACTCTGTTCTCTTGTCTAAATATTTGACATGAGCCCGTTTGTAGTTTCGCATCCTTAAAACAAAGAAAAATGGTCATAAGAATTTTAAGTATGATTGCAGGTCAATTGGGGAAATTGCTCCCAGGAACCACCAGCACCTCGAGGGAGGAACTTATCACCCCAAATTACGTTTTTATACGAAGACTGACATACCGGCAAAGTAATAGAATCAATGAAAAAATACTCAAATCAAACAATAAGATCCCTTACTAATGTCACTACAATTTGGAAAAGTTACGTATGAATCGGCCTGTAATAAACAAAGACAGACCAAAAAATTTAAACAAGAAAAAAGTGATGTTTTGACAGCTTCACGCACATGCACACGCACAGCCACACTTCCGTCGTCGCTGGAGTAACTGAAATGGCTGCCGGCAATGCGCTTTAACGACGTGCTTCACATGTATTGCTATATTTATATTTTCTTGTAAAGTTATTGCTGTGAGAACACCCGCGAACTACCCCGGGAACTACCAGGCCCGGTCTCCCTTATGTCAAATAAGTATACCTATACGTACCTAATACTCAACCAAATTAAAAGACGCGATGCGAATGGAGTTTCATACTTGACATTGTGTTTTAATTTAAAAATATCGGTGTTCGATCGACTGACAAAACAGGGTAGAATTAATAATTTTATGCAGTGTATGTACAAAGGTCTGTCCTGACACTTGCCTACGGTCCTCGATATTGGTTACATTGAATTTGCGTAAGCGATCAGTGTAATTAGGCAGTTTATGCCGTAGTACGAAATTTGCACATCTCCAGAACTGACGTTGAACGTTGAATAGACTCAATTCTCTTAATGTGGACGTGACACGCGAGGCACCAAACGGCTTCACAGCACTCCAAGATACTTCTAATCAATAATTTATGTAATAATATTAATGAATAAAAATGAACCCCCGCATGACGTACAATTCCATTCCTGTACGTCTGTCGCAATCTGGGCAACAATCGGCGACTGTCCACCTTACGCCGATTGGCAAATCCTTTCACCACAATGGCAAGCATTATAGTGTATGCCATCGATACGATAATGAGAAGAAGTGTAACGAAGGGCAAATGATAACAATTTATGTACCTTATTGCATGTGGAATTATAATGGATCACTTACGTTTATTTAAACCAATACACCACTGTGTTAACGCTCTATCCGTGATACAATGGCTTCTAAACACCATATAGGGTAACGATGAATCCGAACAAAAAACTCACACATGATGCACTCCCCTACGTGCATCACACCTACTTACTTTACAATGAATAAGTACCATTAAGGGGTGCGTTAAGTAGGTACCATTAACGGCCAAATGCCACATTATGTATCAGTCGGCGTATTTCCCCAATTTCTGTTGTCTTCCACCACCCCACTCTACCAACTTCGATGGTAGTTAATTATCCACAAGCAGCAGTCAGTTGAATCCCAAGCTGTGCCGCCGCCGCCGCGCACGCGCATCTCAAAGTGACTCCGATAGTTTCGAGGAGCGTTGTTGCTTCGATACATACATTATGGTTAGTAATTACGTTTATTATTTGATTCAAGTTAATAATATCTATGTGTAAGATTTAGTGTTGTTTAATGAAGCAGTAAACAATTTAATAGGTATCTACTTTTCACCGCGACTCTACTTCTAGCAGTATTTTGCTTTCCGTAAATAATTTAGTTATTTTATTAAATAATATAAGAAATTGCAAGTAAGTGCATAACATAAGAAGTTTTAGGCATAAAATAAATAAACAAGTTAAGGTAACTAGTAAATACGAGGTACGTACTAAACAAATATTTTACTTAGGTATAGGGTATAGATACTAAATCTATGGGTATAGGTATACCTACTTATCTGTCTATACTTTTGGCAGAAATGTATTTTCATAAATTACTAAAGAAAGTTTGAGCAGGTAAGTGCAACATTCGCGAATACGTCACTTTCTCAGTCTCGTGAAGATTAACTGCAAACCTGTATTTGGAAATACTTACATAAAATGGATTGTATTCTAATGTTCATTTCAATCTTATCGTCAAATAAGCACTTAGTTAAATGCTCTATGCTGCTTGAACCAACGGGTACCTAAACGCAAAATCCTTCGTAACGGGTGTTAGCGTGGGTGGTTCTGGCACCTTGTTAACCGGCAGAGACGTGCGCGCGCGCAGTGACCACTTTCACCGGAGCAGGCGCTAGCACGAGGCACGCCGCGCTGTTACATCACTAGTCATGTTATGGCGAGTTGCGGATAGTGGCCACGCCGAAACAGCTGCCTGGGCGGAATGTGAATCAGCTGTTTGGAGTCAAAACATGCAAGCGGGCCGGTAATAGGATGTGACATTAGATGTTACCTAAGACAAAGAAGGTCGACGACTCTCACTCTTACGGATAACAGAGAGAAAGAAAGCAATAGTGTAATCCAATAGATATACCTATATCCAACTACACACATCAAAAGTGTCTAGGGATCAAGTGAATATTTTTGAAATAAAAATTATTTAAGCAATATTTACCAAATCCAGTCTTCCAGGACGACTTCTTACTTTAATGCTTATGTTTTATTTAACCGTTGCCCCTATATTTAATTAAAATAAACTAAAATTGATGTTTTTGCAAATTGTGGGAAAAAACTCAAATTAACGGCGTCAATTAAATGACAAAAAAATGGCGAAAATGATGATTTTGCTCATTTTTATTGTAAAGATAAGAAAATTAATAATCTGTATTTCCACCATTAACACGAATCACACAATTACAGCGATTTGGCATGCTTAAGATGAGTTCATTAAAATCACTTTGAGGAATGGCCGCCCATGTGTTTTGTAACAAGTCAAAATATTGTTGTAGAGTATGTACGGTATGCATACTTGGCACAGCTCTTCTTTGAAGCATATCCCATGCGTGCTCAACTGGATTGAGGTCTGGCGATTGAGCAGGCCACGGCAGAACGTTGATACGAGCTTCGGCAAGAATGCGTGTTACGACTCTAGCCGTGTGTGGACGTGCGTTGTCATGCATTAGTTGAAATGAATCACCCAACTGGCCTCGCAAAGGGATGATAACATCTGAAACAATCCTCTCTGCGTAAACTTGAGCTTTGAGGTTACCCCTGATCCAAATGAGATCGGTTCTTCCGCCGATCCAAATACCGGCCCATATCATTATTGTTCCCCCACCATATGGATGAACTTCCTGACAATATCTCAAACGTTCATGACGTCCAGATGTTCTCCAAACTCGAGTACGTCTTGTATCCGGTCTCATACCGAAGCGGGATTCATCCGAAAAGCACACATAGCGCCAGTCTTCTTCCTCCCAGTTTCTGTGTTCGCGAGCCCATCGTAAACGGGTCCTGCGATTGCAGGGTGCAATAGGCGGAACTCTGAGCGGCCTTCGGGATCGCAGACCCACTTTACGTAAACGATTTCGGATTGTTTGATCGCTTATTAGCAAGCCTGAGGAGCTGTGGAGCCTCGTAACCAACATCATGGCGGTCATGGTACGACTCCGTCGAGTATTTTGGATATACCGGTCCTGTCTGCGAGTCGTGATGCGAGATCGTCCTCCATGTCGCTCGGCCACGCTGCCCGTCATGCGATAGCGCGTCCAGAGGCGACTTATGACGCTCTGTGTAGTGTTAAGAGTGAAAGCCACAGCACGTTGCCTGGAACCAGCTTCCAACATTCCGACGGCTCGCATCATCACTTCTCGGGTTAAATGATGTCGTCTCTCCATAATAATGTAAATTGTTTCGGTTCCGATGCAGATATTGTAATGATTTTGTCAAAACGCTATAACTCATTTTTGTACAAAACCACATTGACAATCGATTTTCTTCTTATTATCGAATTTTAAACAATATTCCTTATTTAAATGTTAAAACTCACTAAAAAGTATCAATAGCGATACAAAAAAGTTAATATAATTAACCCTAATTGCAGCAATACTCTTAAACGTACTTGATCCCTAGACACTTTTGATGTGTGTATTTAACTTATCTCTGAACAGAGTCTACTCCCGTTCGCCGAGCTACGTCCGTCTGAAACAACTACTACCAAATAAGTAGGTAACAGGTACTCTCCGTTAATTAAAATACAATGCAACCCTTACTGGTACATACAACGCTGCATTCGCATCACGCGTCTTTTAATTTGATCGACTATTTATGTGATTGCAATCGTTTCGGACGGAGAATGAAAGTACAAAATTCGAACTCGAATTACTTACCTAACTTCAAAACAAAAGTACGTATCAGCAGGAGAAACCTATGCCCAGTTGTGCTTGTAGTCATTAGCCTGATAATAATGGCTGTCACACATAATATTAATAACAACAACACTTTTCCACACGTCCCGGTTCTAGATGCCCGCAATTTGCTACACCTTGGTCGCTGTGGCACTGCTGTGGCCTAGCGCAAGCTCAGACAACAGCACATCAGATTCGTGTGGCTTGGAGCCGTGGGGCTCGGGTCCTTGGAGCGCGCTGCTCGAGGAGTGGGCTACTGCGCCTGCGCTCAGTGAGAGACAAGGTACAGACCTTAACCCCGTTGCTGATAATTGTTCGTTCGAAAAAACTCAGGTGCTAGGCACTACATATTACCCACCGTACCAATTATTACGAGTTTTGTAAATTTTAATAACACAAACCAGGTCGCATCATGTTGCTGCCTCCCGCATCCGGTTACTACGTGACAAACCGTGTGGACGTCCCCCCGCCACCGCCTCCACAACACGGCCCCCTCATCCCGCACAGCGTGCCGATGAGTCACGGCACACCTCCTCCAGCAGGCCCGTTCCCTTACGAGGAGTGGTACGAGTCTCCACCGCCTCCGTCCAGCAGTGGCAAGGGCAGCAAGATTGTTAACCGACCTAACCAATCTAATAAGGATAGATTCAAGCCGAGTCCAAGCTACGTAAGTACCTACATTCGAAATGAAACATGCTTACACGTGTAAGTAGGTAAGGTACTTTTTTCGCACATGAACAAGACGAAACAAAAATTTGATTATCGAGTTCTTAGGTTTTCGCGATTGTTACACATAGGAAATGAAACTATTTTTCCGGATTTAAATCGCGTATATTTGTTTTTTCAAACAAACCAAAAATTTGGTTGTTTCCATTAAAATCAATATTGTTTTTAGCAGCCTCTGCCACCTCAGAATCACCAGTATCCGTCACAATCGCACCCCCACTACTCCGCCGGTCCCTCCGCTCAGTACCATCAAACAGGTTCCCCGTCTAACCCGCACCGTGGCCCCGGTCCCATGGGGTCAGCCGTGGATCGCATCGACGACCCACCGCGCAAGACTGTCTCCGAGACGGATCTGTATCTGCTTAGCGCTATAGAGAAGTTGGTCTACCGCGTCGATCTCATGGAGAAGCGCCTGCGCAAGTTAGAGGAGAGCGTACACTACTTTGTCGCTGGACACGATAAGAAACCTGGTAAGTTGCATTTTGCACTGACTCCTCTCGTGTCTTTCTGTAGACCACATCTTCCATAAAGACCGGATGAACCGGATGCAGTTTTTTTAATATGTTAATGTTCAAGCAAGGTGCTTTCCGTAGATACCTATTGAAGACAAGTTTGAGGAGGCTAAGACTATTTATGTTGTCATCGAATTATTGATTGACTTCCTACGATTAGATACCGCGCACAAACAAATATGTGATCTGTAAGTGATGATTTATTTATTTATTTCAGGCCACATGACCCATATAATATATACCTTAAGGACTAACATACATACAATATAATAAAACACTACTTTAAGTAATCTACACGAATTGCAATTGTCGGCGATGTGAGGCGCAATCAGGGGGTTTACACTCGATCTCCGTCCGAAACAATTACTGCCAAATAAGCAATACTTGACCAATTGAAAAGACGCGTGATGCGAATGAAGCTTCATACTTGATACTTGACTTTTAATTTTGTCGAATATTACTTATTTCACAGTAATTGTTTCGGACGGAGGTCGAGAGTAGACCCCCTGGTATAGGTAACCGGCCGCGGTACCGCCGATATAAGACACCCTTCGGCCAAATTTCTTCCTTCATGAAGGTCGACAGATGTTCGGTCGGTACTCTCACCACAAACGAATCGAAATTCACGTTGTGGCAGGGAGTCCAACAGCTCGACCCTCAGGGTGTATTTGGTTTTATGTCTGATATACTCCACCATCTCCTCAGACTTCGTGGAGTAATGCAGCTGCGACAGGTACGGCAACGTCGTCGGTGTGACCATATTGTTTCGCTACACGTTATCATTATCTAAAATGACTAAGTAGTGTTTTTATTATATTAGTATGTATGTTAGTCTATAAGGTATGTATTTATGGGTCTTTGTTAACTGAATGCAAATAAATAAATAAAAATAAATAAATAAAATATTTATGGCGCCAAATAACCCTTGGTAATATATAATAATGGTGTCGTCAAAACGGTTTTTTTGTCACCTAATATGAATAAGGCGTGTTAATATTGAAAGAAGACTGTCGGAACGCACCGCTTTTCCAACTACAACGACTGTCGTCCGCACAGATCCGTGCGTGACGAACTTCACGCGCGTGGGCGAGGCGTGCTACCACTTCTCGGCGGAGGCCGCGGACTGGAAGGCGGCCAACCTGGCGTGCCGAAAGTTGCGCGCCAACCTGCTGGAGCTGGACTCCGCGGCCGAACGACGCGCCGTCGCCGCGGCCATGCTGGCCGACAAGAGGATCCGAGGTGAGTGTCGTATACGCGAGTCTGGAGGCGAGCGGCTCCGGGCTGACTGACACCTCGTCTCCTGCAGGCACAGACGTCTGGACGGGCGGGCTGAACCCGGGCCTGCTGTGGATCTGGTCGCACTCCGCGCGGCCGGTGGCGGGCAACGGCACCGCCGGTGGCAACGAAACCGTCACCGTCGTCGGCGAGGGCCGCTGCCTGGCCTTCGTGCACGACCCCACCCTCAACACTTACGTCTACAGGTAACGGAGAGGGGTTCTAATCCGAGTTGTTTGTGCGATGCGATTCAAACGATGGCCGATCTCACATCGCGGCTCAACATCTGCCCGCTTGAGGGTATAATGACGGCTGCTAGAGACGCTGTCTGTGTGGCCGAGTTCTGGACCTCAATAGTGTAGTGTACGCCATCGACACGGTAAGGAGAGGGTCGGGTATGGGGAGCGTGACACGGGTCTGAAGTACCCAGTGATGACCGACACTTAGTCTGTTAAAAAAAAAATTCGACTACTTTGAACGCCTCACGACTAGACTAGACTTTAACCCTCAAATTGGAGTCATAAGACAAAAACTGAAGACTAATTTAAGTCATAGTCTGTTAACCTTAGGAATTAAAGCTTAAGTCACTGATTACTGAAAAGCAGTGTTGGGCGTTAATCAATTAAATTTCAATCAGAAATTCTATCAGATTAAAAAAATCAATTCAATTGAAATCAATTGCAATTGATTTTAATTGCAATTGATTTCAATTGAATTGATTTTAATTGCAATTAAATTAATTGCAATTAATTTTTTAGTTGTACTAAGAAACAATTGAAACTAACAATTAAAACCGAAAGTACCGAATAACAGTGTCATTACGAATATGGGTTAGGGGGTCGATTGGGGTGTCGGTTGGGGTGTCGGTTGGGGTGTCGGTTCGGGTGTCGGTTGGGGGCCGGTTGGTGGGCCGGTTGTGGGGCCGGTTGGGGGGTGGTCAGGGGTTTGTGACCCACCACCTAACCCACGCCCTAACTCACCCCCATATAAATTTATCATAATTGTCAGTTCTAATTGTTAACTGTTAATCAAAAACATTTAAAATATTGAAAATTGATTAGTTATTAATTGTAGATATACGCGATTAACGATTGATCAATTGATTGATTGATTGATTGATTGTTTAATTAATTGTTAATTGCGGTCCTCGCAACTAACAATTGCTAACATGCTGTTTCGCAATTGACAATTAATTAATTGTCAATCTTTAATTGCCAGAACAATAAAATTTTGCCCAACACTGCTTAAAAGGCTCATAGGACTAAAAGGACTGGCGCCTTACAGTCTCGGGACTCGCGAATCATGGGTGAGTAGTGTGTAGCCGGCAACTTTACACAATTTGCATTTCGTCGGAGATGTGCAATTACACGTACCTAACTAGCATTGGAGACTTCTGCGTGTTTGACAAAAGTAGCCAATTTGAGTTTTGCGTGCAAAAAAAAATTTTTTTTTAGTTAAAGTTTCTGAAACACAAGAACAAACAGAATAAAAAGCTGTCCGAAAATCAATTGTTTGTTTAATAATCTCAGCACAGAGTACTAAAAAAATAGATCTCAAAAGTAAGTGGAATTACGTCTATTTGCTAAGTTTTATTGAAATATCCCTTAGTTCGCCACTATACTTGACACTGGAGATAATAAAAATCGGTTCTCACTACTCGAAAGTATATTGAGAGAAAAACGCCTTAAATTGGAGAAATAGCAAAATCAACCATTAAAGTAATTGCTCCTAAATTAAAGTTAGGCGCTATTTATAAAAATGAATCTTCAAACGTGAACAACCACCCTTCGAGGTGGATGCTTTTCTTCAAAATGAAATGGAACCACTATATAAGTACCCCCTTTCTAACAAAAAAAGAATCATGAAAATCGGTTCACAAATACCGGAGTTATCACGTAACATACATACAATAAAAAAATGAACATACAGACGAATTGAGAACCTCCTCCTTTTTTGAAGTCGGTTAAAAACGATGGCACTCCTGACTGTGCCACAGCAGGTCCACGCTAATCAATAATTCCTGGACCTGTCAATTTTTTTTTATGCGAGTGTGATAAAATTAAAGGCAATCTTATGTTCTGTAATTTGTGTCGATCTTTATAAAAGTGGTTTAAGTCTATACTTTAAAACGCATATTTTTTTGCTTATAAGCGTCACATTTAGTCATCTTTCATTATAAAAGTGAAGCAACTCCAATAATTGCACTAACATCCCATAGATGGCATTACTATTTTACTCAGAGAACTAAAATTACTATACACATTAATTTGCTAAAAGCACATAATTTCAGAATTCATTACAAGGACTTAATTAATTTTTACAATGAACGACATATAGAACAATAGATAGTTTGAGAGTTAGAGATAATATTAACTTTATTTTTTATTTCCAAATGTACGAAAAAGCAATGTGTGCGACTTGTGTGCTTATGTTCCTAATAGCTTCAATTAATTTCTATCGAAAGAGCCATCTGAAGGTATTTGCAGTTTTACGAGTGCCTAAAGGCAAAACTTTGTTATGTATTTGTTAAAACAATACAGTTACAGTTGTTTTAGTCTAAATTACACTAAAATGAATAATCGTTTGGTTGTTAATTCACTAATATTGTTTCAAAAATATAATAAAAAACAGAAATTTTGCTACCCGGATTTATTTTTCTTTTGATAACTATGAAACATTTATCTTGGTACGCCTTTTATATCGATATCTCGGAACTTACGTCAGTTTCCATTCCGGTCAGTACGTGGCAACTAAATTAGCATTATTTCTAGGTATGTATCGTTATAGTTCGTAGACGACATAATTAATGGTTAGGTACTGTGCAAAAATGAAAGTCAGCCGTTGAAATAACAAAGTACCTAATTACGTTAAAACACTCTCCTGTAAAATTTGGTTTTCTGTAGATACACGTCTTTTATTAACGCTACATACGTGGCATTGCTTAGGAAATTAAATATTTTTTAACCGACTTCAAAAAAGGAGGAGGTTCTCAATTCGACTGTATGTTCTTTTTTTGTATGTATGTTACGCGATAACTCCTGTATTTGTAAACCGATTTTCATGATTCTTTTTTTGTTAGAAAGGGGGTACTTCTATAGTGGTTCCATTTCATTTTGAAGAAAATCATCCACCTTTAAGGGTGGCTGTTCACGCATGAAGATTCATATTTATAAATACGCCTAACTTTAATTTAGGAGCAATTACTTTAATGGTTGATTTTGCTATTTCTCTAATTCAAGGCGTTTTTCTCTCAATATACTTTTAGTGAGAACCGATTATTATTATCTCCAGTGTCGTCCTGTATAGTGGCGAACTAGGGGATATTTCAACAAAACTTAGCAAATAGACGTAATTCCACGTACTTTTGAGGTCGGTGTTTTTAGTACTCGGTACTGAGATTATTGTTAAATAAAATCATGGTTATTAGTACTATGTACCTAGCTTTGTCCACTCACTTGTTACACAATAGAAACGTTTTCAAGTCCGGGGTAGGTTTTGTTAGAGCTAAATGGAGGTCAGATATGGAATACACCGGCAGGTCTAATTTTATTTTCAGTATGACATGGAAACAAACCGTACCAGGGTGCGAAGTACGACACGTTCTTAGGTATCGTCATTCCTAGAAAAGATACAAATTGAACGACGTCACACGTACCTGCACCAAAAAATTATCAATTTTTAATATTAGTAAACACGATTATAAACTGCAAAGTATAATTTTATTTATAAACTAGGGTCCAATAAAGGCACTAGAGGACTCCAGCGCGTAACGGCCTGGAAGAGCTGGAACCGTTCCGAATAAGAACGCGACCGCGTCTTGCGAACCAAACTCGCAGGTGGAACTTGCACTTGCAGGGGCCAGGAGTGCGCGCTGCGGCACCGCTTCGTGTGCGAGGCGGCCGAGGCGCCGGCGCGGCTCAGCAACGAGGTGGCCCGCGTCGCCCGCGCCGCACGGCTGCGGCGGGGCCTCGCGGAGGGGGAGCGGGGCGGGGAATAACACAAAAGCCTTTGTCGCAATGCCTTATTATTCTAAATATTTACAGGTGTAAGAATCACAACAAAAGAACTTATTTGTAGATAAAGTATCCTCGGCCGGAAGCGCCGGGAGCGCGCGCGCGGTCCCGCCGCGGCCGGCCCGTATTTACATTATTTATTTATTTATGTAAGTTTAAGTTCAAGGACGATTCACCCTCAAGTGGGCGTGCCGCGGGTGCGTTCCGAGGATGCCAAAGAATTGCCGTGAATCGTCCTTAAGGAACAACGGTCACGAAGTGCACGAGACCGGTGCCGACTTGTGTAATGTGCGCACGAGCGACTTTCGGTTCACGCGTGGAGACTAGTGCTCCGTCCCGAAAGGCGCTTCTGCGGAATACGTTTTGTCGGTGTTGTACTTTCCGCGCTACCTTCGATCCGTTTGACAATAAAACATTTCACAGTTCACGAGATTTTCATTTGACACTAATATTGTTTCTACAAAAAAACACAAAATGTCCGTTCTGTACTTAAAATAAGACAATAGTAAATAGAATATGCCTAGTGCCAAATAAAAGCTCGGTTACATTAGTACGGCAAACAAATAAACCATGTTAAATTGAAGCTTCCACGCGACCAACGAAATGGTCAAGAGCGACGTACGTAATTTTGCAAGTCAAGAAATTATTTTTCATCACACTCGCTCGTAAACAGTGTCATAACATGCAGGCAAAGCCAACCGTAATGTCCTAAATTACGCCCACGGGCTTTTTCACTACATTACTGCCTTATAACAGTAATAGATTAATTTTTTAATTTCATTGCACTACACTTCTCAACGTCAAGATTAAGCAAAAAGTATTTACGCTCGAAAAATCGAAATGAGTTTCGCACAAACTGAAAAACTAAACATTTGCAATTTAACTGTTTTACTAAATTAATTTTATAAATTCAAATTGAGTATTTTTAGTATTTTGAAATGATTTATTTTATATCTTATACATCACGGCTGCATGCGTTTTTGTCTTTTACAACATTTTAGTTCGAGTTGTACTATTTATAGAAGAAAAGGTGGTCACCTGTTTACAAGAAAAAAACAACGAGCCATTTGCAAAATCCGTAATTGGTGTGTTGTACATAGATATCGTTGGTTGTGAAGCGTAATTTATTTTTCCTGCATTTATCTTTGTATTTATTTCCTCGCAAATGTGATGAAAAACATTGTACGTAACACGGGCGGTACGGGAATTACGAACCTGGACTCCGAAAGCCCTCAATCTTCGACTTAGGGCTTCTAATAATCTCATTCGTAATTCCTTATTTACAGCCCTTCATACAGAATGTACCATGAAACATCGGAGACCTTTCCGATCCTTTTACGCCACGCTCTATGGTGAATTGGTAGGCCAAATCGCAACCATAAAAAAGGCCATACAAAAAAGGTACTTGTATTTTTTTCAAAAATGCTTGGAAGTGTTCGTTGCGAAGAAAGAACTCGCAAAATATATCATTTAGTGAAGTATCTGCTCACTAGCAGCTACTTCCGTTATTTCGAGAATTACAAAAATATTGTCTACAGTAGGAGTTATTTTGGGTTGAATTATGGAGCACCAATGTACCTGCATCACATAGGTACTAAAAAACGGCGGTAAAGTAAATGATACGTACTTTGCAGTGTTTTTTTTTGTATTTCTTTGTATTTTTCACATTTTCTTTTCGAAAATGAATTCAAGCGAAAGTACAATAGTGCACTGTAGTATACACTCCGCCTAATTTAAACCAAGAAGCAAAAGTTGTCATGTGAACTAGTTTTACTTTTTCTATTAAACATTCTGCTTACGTTCTTTTAGTCATTTATTTTTTCCTCGCATTGTTTGAGAAAAGCCTGTACCCACGGCCGTGCCTCTCAGCCTCTAAACCGCGCATTTGTGCGGGAGACGAGCACCCTTTCCTTACGCAATGGCATCACTGGCGCAAGTTCAGGCATGTAGCCGGTCCGTCCCGGCCCGGCTCGCGGCTAGTGCAGGTAGAGACGAAGTCTGCCGCGAGGTTCGGTGTTATCAATCAAAAATTGCGTCTCAACATTGTATGTAATATTAAACTAACAGCGTATGTAATATTAAAAGCGCGGTGTGTCTACGTGCAACTCGATGGAAGCTACGTTTGTGTGCGTCGCGTTGTACAAAAATATAATGGTATAGAATTTGATAGGAGTATAAAGGTGCTTTTCCACCGGCGAGGCGAGACGAGGAATGAAATTTGTATAGCGACATTTCAACTCTCTCCTAACGCATTTTCGGTGGAAATGGTCCGGATTGACGACGACGCGCGAGGCGAGAATTGAATTTGTTGATTTAATATTGAACCGTATTGCTGTCTGCATAGAGTATTGTACTCTGCAATGGAAATACGATTTGTCGCGCGAGTTCGCGATGGCTATTAATATCAATCGCGATCGTATCGTATGCCACATACGATTTGAAATTTGAGAAATAGGTGATTACATCCGACTTTTTTTCCGTATTATCTACGTTGTTTTATATGCGTTTATATCGCTAGACGAACTCAGCAGTACTGAACCTTTGCTACCCACAACCACAACTCGGACTCGCGCGAGCTATTGAGGGCAATCTCGTCTCGCCTCGCCGGTGGGAAACTATCTCGGCAGTCGGGTGCGGAGCCCTGGAGTACTGCGTCTCGCGTCCAGCGGCTTCGCCACGAGAAGGCGCCCGAGGGCACCGGCACTAGTTGAAGTGGAACTTGAACTGGAAGGGCGAGCCGTACTGGAAGTGGTGGAAGGGCGCGTGGAAGGGGCCCTCGTGGCCCCCGGCCCGCTGCGCCTCGGGGTCCAGCGGGTCCACGCCCTGGTCGAACTGCGCGCGCTTCTCGGGGTCCGTCAGCACCTGCGGAGCGGAACGGTCAGCCCGGGGCCGCGTCGCCGCCGCCGCCGCCGCCAGCACGCGTACTTCCTTGGCCGCGGCCACGTCGATGAACTTCTTCTCCGCCAGCTTCTTCTCGTCGCCGTGGAAGTTGTCCGGGTGCCACTTCTGCGCCGCCTTGCGGTACGCCTTAGTGATCTCCTGCTTGGACGCGGACCTGCAACGGACCTGCGCTCGGATCGGGCTCGGCTGCGGGCGGCGGGCGGCGGCCGAGCGGCGCGAGGGCGGGCGCACCTCTTGACGCCCAGGATCTTGTAGTAGTCCCGCTGCTCGGACTGCTTCTGCATCTTCTGTGCGCGCTGGATGCCGTCCTTGGCGCGCTGCAGCCCCTCGTCCAGCTCCAGCGCCTCCTTGTAGGCCAGCAGGGCTGCGGACAGAGCGGGTCAGCGCGGGCGGGCGGCGGGGCGGGGCGGGGCGGGGCCGCTCACCGTCGTCGAACATGTCCAGGCCCAGCAGCGCGTCGGCGCGGTCGCACAGCAGCCGCGCGTCGCGGCCCAGCGCCAGCGCCTCGCCGCAGCGCGCCGCGGCCTCCGCGAACAGCTCCTCCTGCGGACCAACGACGCCGGTCACCGAACGCCCCGCGCCCGCAACCGCCCCGCCCCGCCCCCGCCGCCCCCGCTACCTTGACGCTGCAGCTGCACAGCCACTTCTTCGCCTCGAACACCACCAGCGGCACCTCGTCCTCCGCCTGCAGCACCTTGTTGGCGCTGGCGATGCAGCCCGAGAAGTCCCGGGCCTCGCTCAGCTCCTCGCACTGCAGCAGCAGCTTGTCCACCTTCTTCAGCTTCTTGTACAGCGGGAAGCACTGCTTGTGCTCGGGGTCCAGCCGCAGGCACTCGCGCGCCTCCTGCGGAAGGTTCCGCCGTTTGAGCGCCGCGAAGGCGCGTAAGCGATTATTCCACGGGCAACATTTTAACACTCGACGACGGTTTTATAAGCTCCTCGTTCCCTACGCTGGCCTCCCTGAGAGAACAAGCGAGAAACTCCAGGGATCGCTTTTATCGAATAAACTCAAACGCTACGGGATGCTTTTGAATCGCAACTATACCATACCATACATCTTTATCAAATACGTAGCTTCTATTCCCCATAAAAGAATCGTTTACCTTAGTCCAGACGAAATCGTGGTACCATGAATTTGGGCCTAATTCTAAGATCAATATTAAATATATCTGAACAGTGTGCGGTTAGGTATTTAATGTGGTGTTAGTGTTTGTCTGTCAATGTAGTGTGTAGTTGTATGCAGCAAATACCAACCGCCTGCTGTACATGAATTTATGGTAAGATAATAACTACTCTATCAGAATCTAACGGAGAGACCTCAAGGGTCGTCTTACGATCTGTCAAGTGTAGCCCTACAACCTAACGGTGTGTAGCGTAACCTAACCATAAATATATAAATGGAGAGATATATAGTATAAGTAAGGAACTCTGTCACCAGGAGACCTAAGGTGACAAACGGAAGTTTTTTCCTTAATGAAATTATGTATACTTTTACGAGTATCCAAAATATTTGAGTAAATGTAATATAATACTATAGTTATAACACCAGTCTGCTTAAACTTTTCTCTAAGAGTAACCTGAGAACCTAAATGGTAAACAGAACGAATAACTCATTTTTACAACATAAATACGGTTTGTATGTCTGCTGCTTTACACCACATTAAAACCCCATAGGACATTATACTATGGTAGTAACTAAAGTAAATTAATCTAGCAATAGCAACATCGGTAAGCTCGTATTCTACAGATTATGTATGCAACAGAACTCAACACGCTGGCTAAGGAAGATATATGCGGAGACCATTAAAGTTTATTATCAAGCGTCACTCCCAAAAAGACAATTTTATTAACAAGGTTTTCTATTTATGGTAGATCATTATGGCAATGGAAATGTCCAAGTATTGAGTCCTTCGGAACACCCATTTTTATCAGAGAATGCAGAAAAGTTATTCTATTTATGTGTACTTTTTGAATTTTACTATTAAGATATGACAAGTTCCAATGTCTTTTCGTTTACTCTGTAGTATTTCAATTTCCTAACAAGAGTAATATGGTCTACACAAGGAAATACCTTCGAGAAGTCTCTTCGAAAACTCCAATAGTGTTTTGGGACCTTTTCAAGTTTCTAAGCAACGAATAAATGTTTTAGTAGCGCTATTCCCGCATTGCTAGTCGACCTACCATTAGTGAACCTATGTTGTTCACTGAAAAATATGATTCCCATCGAAATAGGACAGAAGTCGAGTCAACACGACCTTTTTGATCATTTTGCTTAAAGCTGGTGGAATTTAAACATATAAGGCTTGTAGTTGCTAGGATCAACTTTCGTACCGCTCGTGAAAGAAGGAATAACCTTGCGGTGTTTTATCAATGCACCCCGTTAAATGTGGGGAGGTTAGAAAAACTACCGAGTCTACAACTCTAGTCGACGTCCTAGCGGTTTCCAGCCTCTCGGCGTGTACAGATTTAGAAGCGTCAATGGCGTCCTGCGGACTACCGCGACGAGCTCGAGTGCGCCCTGCGAACGCCGACGTTCTGGGAGGCCGAGGGCGAGAGAGGCGCGGGCCGCACCTGCAGCGCGTCGCCGACGTGGCCCAGGCGGTACAGCAGCTCGGCCAGCCGCAGGTGGCCCTCGGTGGAGTCCTGCTCCAGGCGGTTGACGGCGCGCAGGTCGGCCGCGGCCGCCAGCAGGTCGTCCAGCTGCGCCAGGCAGTGCGCGCGCAGGCGCCGCAGCGGCGCGCTCCAGGGCGAGGCGTCCAGCAGGCGCGAGGCCAGCGCGGCCGCGGCGCGACAGTCGCCGGCGCGGGACAGCGCCGCGGCCCGCAGCGCGTCGGCGGCCAGCGCGTCGGCGCGCGCCGCCGAGCGCCGCGCCTCCTCGTGCGGCTCCGCGGCCGCCTGCGGCGAGGGGCGGGGTCAGTGAGCGTGCACGGGCGCGACCGCCAAGCGGGGCGGCGAGGCCGGCCGGCTCGGTCGTAGCGGTTCCAGGGAAACGGTCCTAGAGGACTGTCCGTGAGTTTTGAAGATGTTGCGATCGTTCGGTACGGTCAGCAAGATAAAAGGCAATTTGCACGAAACTTTTCTTTGTGCCATTCGATCCGGTCCCTGGTGAGGACCAATAGTCTCCATGGGACCAACTGAGGTAAGAGTACTCGAAATGTCAGAAATCGCGAAGAAGAATTAAGTAAAAACAAATTATAATCATAACATTACTTTTAAATTTCAAACAGCTTTATTTTACTAATAGAGAATTGTCACCTTTCGCACAATTTTTAATCAAAATGGTCTCAAATGTGGAAACAAATACATTGAAGTAAAATTGCAGCCACCACTTACTATTAGCAGTAGAAAGCGAATCAATCATAGACCTTTTATGTTATTTTGCTTTCCACTATTATTTTGAAATACATAACACGTATACAATTCGTTAATTTCCTTAACTACCTAGAATACCTAATGATTAGATATGTCCCTACAAAATGTACGATAAAAAGTTTTTTGCGATTTCCCACATTTCAAGTACTCTTACCTCAGTTAGTCCCATAGAGACTATTGATCCTTACCAGAAACCAGATCGAATGGCACAAAAAAACATTTTGTACAAATTGCCTTTTATCTTGCTGACTGTACCATTTTTTGAAAACCTGTGAATGCCAATCAAAATATCCTCAAAATTCATGAATAGTCTTCTCGAACCGTTTTCCTGTAACTATAACGATTAAGGTAACTGGCCTTGCTGTACCGTCTCAAATTTACACCTGTATAGTTAAAAATTACTTTCCTATAAATTTACCACGCCGAGCGCCTTAAAACAATGGTTAAGAATTTAAATAAGGCAAAGTTGACGAAATTGCGTGTACTACAAATAATTACATGTGAAGAAATAAATTCACAGCACGTGTAATGCGGAACTCGAAATTTAGCGATAAATGTACGCGATTGCAGCTGTCTTCGTTTATCACCGTGTTTTGTTTAAGAACGGCGTTGCGTCATGTCGTACGTGGCTTCTAGGTGTCCTACAGCATTGCCACATCAGAGTGTAACAATCATCAGTTCCCTGTATTAGTTACACTATACAGTTATTTCATATTACAAACTGTTGATTTTGTTTAACTTAAAATTCCCCCAGAACATGACCAATAGCTATTTACAAAATTACAACACCTTGATTTTTTCAACACATAAAGATACTTCATTTTCATAATACGAATATATTGTTATCAAAATATGTAATGTATTACAGACAACATAACAGCTTTTCAAATACTCCATAAAAATATCTCAGTCTTGTTTAATATTCACGCTGAAGTAAATAAAATAAACAAATTGTAATTCTGTCAGTCGGTAATGTAATGCAAACATAGTTATTAAATATACAATAATCAAATTATAAAATGGATGACGTATTTCAAATAAATAAAATTGTAGTATAGATCACCAGATAATACCACCACTGCACGTACATCAGAAGATAAGAAAAGAGTGGATGGTCACAAAGAGAAATAACAAAATTGCTGATGCAATACCTATTATTTCAGTAAATTTTGTTTTATATGAAGCCATAGTTTTGTATATACTATAAAATTACAATATTAACATGCTCTTAATCCTAACCTGATCTAATTAATATTATATATTAATGTACATAATAGTGTGACACAATACATATATTAGCAGTGTTATTTAAACCTATTTCAAATGTATGCAAAGATACAAGATGCTAAATAAATATATGAAAATAAATAAATCAATGTAAATCATTAGCATCATAGTTCAAATCATTCGCATAATGATGAAATTTTCTAAATTTATTATTAAAATATTGTGGTATATCATAATAGGCTGTTGTCAGCTTCGCAACGTTGATGACAATCATGTGTAAAATACATATTTAAATACGTTATGGGAATGGGAATTTATTTCACATGCAGTAAATAGATAAATATACTCACAACTTGTAAATAGTCTTCTTTGGCATTATCATACTGTGCTAGCTTAAAGTAGACATTGGCACGGTGCAACCTTGCAGCTGTGAAGTCTGCCTTCAGTTCCAACACCTGTCAATAACAATTATTCACTAATAATGTTACAACTAGCTTCTCTGCAAAATAATCATCATCACATATGACAGAAGATTGTTTGTATATGACTGTTTGTTACCTGAATAAATAAAAAATTACTTTTGTTTGATATGTTTAATTGGTAGTGGATTGCTAACGGCTAAAACTATAACAAACATGACTTTTTAACATGACGTGACCATGGGACCTGTAAAGGGCCCGAAAACAAATATACGCAATTTAAATTCGGAAAAATAGTTTAATTTCCTATGTGTAACAATCGCGAAAACCTAAGAACTTGATAACTTATGAACATGCTTATCAAAGTTCGCTTCTCTAGTCTTTGCAAACATACCAATGCCTATGTTGATACATTTTAATAAAATAAACAAAATCAGGATTCCTACTTGACTATAGTTTATACACATGATTGTGTCTACACATTTCTTATTATGAAGTCACACATTCTAGGACATTTTCTCAGTTGGTAACATCCAAGATAAGAACCAATATGAACATAGTTTATTGCTCTAGAATATTCTGTACAATATCTGTATTTACCTTGGTGAAGTCTTCAAGGGCAAACTTTGCTTTACCAAGTGCATAGTACACCGTACCACGTTTGAAGTATGTGAGGTAGTTGTTTGGGTCGCCCTCTGCGCACATAACATTGCAGTAAATAGTTAATGCTCTTAGCGACTTTGTTGTTAAATTCATGAATGAAATAAGCTGCTCTATACATTAATGATATAGTACAAGCGTTCGTAGAGAATAAGCCGATGTAACAGCCGGCGCGGCCTTGACATACACCGAGGACGTCGCCTGCTCCACATCCTAATGAGGCGCACTCACCCACGGCTGCATGATAATGAGTAAGCGCGTCCGACAGCTGTCCTCGCGCTAAAAAATCTCGCCCCAGTTCCAGGTGCTTGTTCACCTCAGCCTGCGTCGCGCACTCTGAAACTACACACCACAGTCAGCACCCTCGAGCCTCCCACATTATACTCAAAACTTTGCCGTCAAATGCACTTACATTCTAACACTACTTCTAATACTAATAATACAAGGCATGGCGTGACTTTGTTCCAGTTGATATTCGCTAGAGAGTCCATTATAATATTATAATTTACTAACTGCAGTCTTAATGAAAGTATTTATCAATTAATTCATTGCAAACTAATTTATATGACAGAGCCACAATCCATTTTGTGATTTTTTCTTCGTCTCTTTTCGTGGTTTTTTCTGATTGGTCCAACAAATCAGACAGATGGTCAACGCATTGTTGCCATTACTATGAAATTGTCTGATGTAACATTTTCACTACACGCTACGCTATAAAATTAAAAACAAAAGAACATAATAATTGCATTAAAAAAAATGAAAAACTACAAACTATTACTTATAATCATCTTCTAATACTAAATAATAACAAATAACATATTTTTGAACGACTCAACCGCTGTGTTGCCAGCTTCTAATATTACCGTGAAATATAGCGAAATAGCTGAACCATCGACAGGCGGTATAAGGCGGCTTTAGACTCCTATTATCACTGGCTCGCTCCAGCACTCTTTGGACGAGATTCGCCAAGCAGAGTGTCACACTTGCCAATATTTTCGATAGTTTTTTAGGTACGTGGAGTGTCACTTGTGTCAACGATTTCAAATGGTTTGAATTGTTTTGTAAAACTACGAAATATTATAATTCATGAAGTTCACGAGGCCGTTTTATTATTTGATAGGGGAACGATAAATTCCATTCCAAAAGTACGTAAAGAAAATTTTGCTGTATCGAATTGTGCATTTTTTAATGTTGTACCAAGTGAACGGGGCGAATAAGTCGTACGCCTGATGGTAAACTACACGCCTGTTCATAACAGTGAATTAAAGTTGTAATGCCACTCGGAGCTTCAAATCGCAAAGATCTGAGGCGCACTGCAATGCGCTAGAGACAGAAGTTGACATGTCCCTTGGGCTTGTAATTTCACTAGCACCTTTACCCTTCAAAATCGGAACCACAAACATCGGAACTCAGTAACGCTTACATTTGATTGGCGGTAGAATTAGGTAAGTTGCCAGTACTCGACTGGACGTACTATTTCACAAGAAACTACTGCTACTACAGTACTATGCAATGCAATATAAATAACATTTTCACAAAAGAAGTGAAACACATCCGAATCAATTTAAAACACAATTAATAATGTAACTCTTTAACATTGCCAGGTGAAAGTCATTATAGTTTTCTATTATTTAATGCCGTGAGATTCTGGTACACCTATAGTATATTGCAAGATTGTAAGCATATGTGATACCAACATCGCAATAGATTAATTTGTAGCTTAGTTTGTCCCTGTTTGTAAAGATATTGGGAATTTGGAAATTGGTTATTGTATAACGAAAAAGCGGCAACACTGCCGTTCTTTCATTTCTAAGTTTCCGGTTAGTGTGACAAAATCTTTAAATATTTCTTATTTACTACAATTTTCACAGAAATAAGTGTTGATTTGTTCAATGATTTTGTTTGATAATCCCTCGATACCCTATAAAATATCAGATTACTTAATGTTGACGAGATTAATTGAGATTAGTTGTATTTAAATGTCAACATAACCTCTGAAGTTTGATTGAAGAGGGTTTATCTAAGTGGTGTTTTAGGAATGGCAGACACAGCGCCGTCCACTGCGCCTAAGGCGAAAGCGCCTAAAACTAAGGCCCCAAAAGAGAAGGCCGCGAAGGCTGCCCCAGCAGCGCCCGCGGAGCCCGCAAAGGTGCCGCGCAAGGTGTCGTCTAAGCCGCGCCACGGACGACTCTACGCCAAGGCTGTCTTCACCGGCTACAAGCGCGGCCTACGCAACCAGCACGAGAACACAGCTCTCCTTAAGGTGAGACTTTGTTAGGTTAAATTTGAACATACTGTCAAAAACAAATTATAATAATGTCACTTCATTATAGTTTTCACACAATATGAACTTTCTGTTTATTTACTGCTTTGTTAAAATAGTTTATAACTAGTTTTATTTGATATGATGGAAAGACATTTGAAACCTGATACTCTCTACAGATGTGTTGACAAAATTGACTGATCACTATCTTCACCAAAAACGTGGCTAATAATTGTAAACAATGACATTGAGGCAAACACTGACTTATCATTCCAGATCGAGGGTGCTCGTCACCGCGATGACGCTGTTTTCTATACAGGCAAGCGATGCGTATATGTGTACAGAGCTAAGAAAAGGACACCTATCGCTGGTGGCCCGCGCGGAAAGAAGACGAAGCTGCGTGCCATCTGGGGCAAAGTGACACGTCCGCATGGCAACGCCGGCGGAGTGCGTGCTCGCTTCAAGTCCAATCTGCCTGCGCAGGCCATGGGACACAGGATACGAGTGGTCAGTGTCATCCTTTACAGTAATACCCTGCATTACGTGAGGGATGCGTTACGGATAAAATCGCGTTAAGAAAAATTCGCATAAAACGCGGTTCTATCTTTTGTGTGGCCAGACTGGTGTTATAAATTTTTGGTCGTGCTAGTGTCTTAACTAACATAACTTGACCTAATGACTGCTACCAGGGATAGAGCAGGGTATGATCAAATAACAAGTATTATAATTATGGACGTGCTTTATTTATGTTTCTTTAAAAACTTTAGAAAACTGTCACAAAGAAACAGACTTTAGTTAACTATTTCACTTTTAGTTGTCTAAAGTTTTTTGGTTGACTCAGAGGCCAAATTGTCGTCCAACTTCTGTAGCTTTGCCTCTGTTATCCATCTTTTTTAAAACTTTTATCTTCGTCTTCAAACTCAAGCTCTCACACTGGTCACAAATTAAGGGAGCCACCAAGAAAGAACTATTATTTCATTGGTTAATTCAAGCAAATAAGCCGAATAAAATCTGATTAATCAACCTTTCAATGCATCTGCATAAAGCGGGGTTATTTAGTGCAAAATTTGAAAATCGCGTTATAACGGAATCGCGCAAAGCGGGGTCGCACTAAGCGGGGTATTACTGTATTTCTTAAACGCAGCTCCCTCTTTGCAGAAAACTAAATTCTGCAACAAAAACATTGCATCACTCAAAGTCTTCTTTGTCTTTGTTTTGACTGTATTATGTTCAATTGACATTACATTGATGGAAATGGCACTGTAGTTGGATCTTTGCCTTTTTGATTTTGAATGCGAATTTCAGAATGCATTGTATGAAAAATAAGCATTTGTTGATGCAATCATATGGAAAGGCTTCCATTTTATTACGCTTATGATGCAATTATGAACACTTCTTTACTGTTGTTGGGTGTATGAGTTCCTCTTTTACATTTCTGAGCATGTTTAATAAAAATTAATTTTCTCAAACATGTTCAAAATATTTGCATTACTTTCAAAAAACGAACACGGAAAGTTGTCATTTATGGACTGTGCAAGTTCTTCCCGCCCATGCTTACAGCTGTCCATTGCCTTAAACTTTTAATGGTCTATCCACACATATCCGGGCCGTGCCAGAGACGTGGACGGGCCGTGCTCTGTCAGGGGCTCAAAAAAAATATCGTTGCGTATATTTTGTATGAACTCGTTCCAAATGTCCGTGTCTGGGCAGTTCATACAAACTAGCACGCCCGGCCACGTCCCGGGCACGGCCCTGATGTGTGTGGATAGTCCTTTAATCTATCTACTAACAATGAACTATGTAATCAGGCAAAAGAAAAACACATACAGACAACTGCCAAGTGTTCGTAATTGCGAGAATTAAAAATAATTAATTATTAACCTACCTGTAGCACTTATTTTAAAAGAACAAGGCGGTAAAATAAACTGAAGTGCTTTGGTATTCTGTTTTGGTTTTCGACTATTTTTTTATTTTAGTCGCTTTTGTATTTTCGTCACGAAAATGAGTTCTAGTGAGAAGGGCGATAACGAAAATACAATAATGGATACACATTATACACGTCATTAGAAGTTAAGCAGACTACAATGGGTCTGGAAAAGCAATAAAACTTTCTTTTAGCAATTCTGAAAAGCTGTCAGTATAATCTTCATTCATTTAGCACAGTGAGAATGATGTTGAAACAAATTTTCTCTTTCAGATGCTGTATCCATCCAGGATCTAAGACCTGTTATTTAGTAAGCTTACAATAAAAAACCCAAAAAAACTGATTTTAGTCCTTTTATTTTCTATCGAACCTATTTGTATTCCTTCCGATGAATTACACGACGACGTAGGTCAAGTGCGAGTTTGATCAAACCAGTAATTAGTCAAAATCATTATTTCACGAATTATGTGTGTAAAATTCATTTTAAAAAACTTTGAGTTTCTTAATTTCCACTTGAGTATATTAAAGTAATAAGAAAGGCGTCTAAGAAATTGATCGAAGCGATACACTTAAGAATATTGTCTGAAGAACGTGCTGATTCGTTATACGATGGGATGTACTTTATCGGATCATATAAAAACCTGGAAACCGGCTAAAATAAGTCTTAAAACGAATAATTTAAGTAAAATATCGTACGCTATTACATATCGTTGTACATATAGTAGATGTTGAAAATAAGGGGAAAATCCCTTACCTTACTTCGTACGTACAGACGACATCACTTGCGACTACACATTGCATTCGAGGCGATATTACCTATATAACCTGTACACATTAGTAGTTTATGTGACTGTTAGATAATGGAAAGGCGTTAGAAGACGAGTGTGGGTTATGAATATATAATGATCAAACTACTCGTAAGTGTACTCAAGTTGCTATAATAAAGTATAATTTTTAATAGTTATTGTCGTCTTATTTTTTATATTTTTTAAATTATTTTTTATAATAACTAACTGACGGGGCGAACAAGATGTGCGCCTGATGGTGAGCGTTACGCCTGTACATAACAGTTGCAGTACCACTCAGAAAATCACAAAGATCTGAGAGGCACTGCCAAACCGGCACGCGCAGTAATGATCATATTACTGCTTGGCTGTAGAAATAAGTAAGGTGCCACTACTTTTTTTTATAACGCGCACACTCGGTACTTCTCTGGACAACTCTTAACTCAAAGAGCTCCACTACTAAAACTCTTATACTACTGTCTGTACCTATACCCGAGGCACTAGCCTCTTGAGAACCGGATGAAGTACGTGACAACGGTCTGTTTGTGTATAGGGATGTCCCTGTACACAAAAGGTACAATAAAAGGTTCCTGTGCACGCACCGTTGTAATGACCTCGTATATCCTAAGGGACGGATGGTAGGGAGGATCACTATAATCAAAACTTTGTAGAAAGGTACTACGGGGACTGTACTAGCTTATTTTAACAGTCGTCGCTAGCGATTACGTGTAAACTATTTTTTTTAAGGCAAATTGTAGAGCGCCCTCTAGTGGTCCCAAGAAGAAGTAACATTTACATACATATAATTATTACGTTAGCGACGAATGTGACTTTAAGGGTAAAGATACAGATTTTGACGTCGTGGTTGTTTTGTATTGCCGCTAGAGGCCGCGAGTTGTTCCTTCCGGAACTGGTAATAAGTAGCCGTAACATGAATTTAGAGCCCTTGTCCACCAGTGGAACAGAGCAGGCTTATAAAAACACTATTAAACGTTGATAATATGCTTTTACATAATGTAAATACTGTAGTTGTATGTTGTAAACAGAAGTACTTGTATTGAAAATCATTAAAATGTTCTATCATTTTAATGTTGTGGTTACCAATTTAGTAGCAGTAGAGCTCCTTGTGAAAGACTTCGTCTTGGGGAGTATTGTCACCTTACTTATTTCTGCCGCCAAACAGTAATGTGAGCATGACTGCGTTCCGGTTTTGAAGGGTAAGGGTGCTGGTGAAATTACAGGCACATGGGACTTGTCAACTTATGCTTATGTCTCAGGGTGACAGGCGCAGTGGCAGTGCCCCTCGATCTCTGGGTTTGTAGAATCTGAACCCGTGGTCTGTTTCTTTGCGATTTAAAGCTCTGGGTGGCACTGCACCTGTTATGGATAGGCGTGTCGCTTACCACCAGGTCCACGACTTGTTCGTCCCGTGACTTGGTATTATAAAAAAAACTACGCCGCTAGATGTCACTGCTGCTAAGTTTAAGATCTCAAGTATATAAATGTATTATCTATGTTTAAGATTTTGGGCGGGGAACGTTAAGTTGTGCGTCGTGCTCACCTGTTGTGTGTGGTTTGAGAAATAAAATTGATTGAAAGAACTATGTGTGTTTTCCAACACTTTTGTCCTGGGTTGTACCTAACCATAGACCTACGAGTCAGTGGTTGTAACGGAAGCTTTCTGGCATACCTCAACTAGTTGAGGGACTTGGCCGTCCCTCAACTGTCATGCTGCATGAAATTTGAATAGCATAAAAATACTATACCTACTACAGGTTGTGACGAAGATCAAATTTAAAATTTGAGACATGAGATAATGGAGGTCAAGGGGTACAATGTTCAAACACTAACATACAATTTTAAATTTTAAAAATATACAATTTTAATGCAAAAAGCGCGCACAAATGTGAAGAACAGAAAAATACCGAAAAAAGAAAGTAGCACGGATGTAAAGTTTTCAGACGAATTGAAGTTTCAATAATAATCGCTTTTTATCAATTATGCATATTATTTAGTCTTATCCCTGATCATTTCCTGCTGATTTTACCTACGTTTAGTTAGAATCTGGAGCTGCTCGTTCTGGCCAGAGTGATATTAGCGCTTGAAGATACCTTTTTCCATCCTACTTTCCATCTTGACTTTGTTTATGATACAAAGAGACAGGACGAACAAGCCGTGCACCTGGTGATAGCAGTTGCAGGGCCACTCAGAATCAGAGCTTTAACTTGCTAAGTTCTGAGAGCCTCTGCCACTGCGCCTGTCACCCTAAGGCATAAGTTGACAAGTCCCATGGGCCTGTAATTTCACCAGCACCCTTACCTTTATTTATTTATTTATTATATTACATATTGCTTACAGATTAATATCCAAACACAATAGTAGGTACCTAATTCTTAATCTAATATCATAGATTTAATTAATAATGTAATCATATTTAAAAAAGAATTGATACAAAATAAATTGAATGAAAACTTTGCAAATCATTGAATTTGATATATTGCATAAAATAAACTGAATAAAAAATTAGATAAAAATAACAAATCATGGAATTGGACATAACGCAAGTACATTATTAACAATCAAATTTTAAAACATTAACATAGTATTAATTATTCGGGATGCACAATACTTAGATGATGCTACTGTCTATGGTCAGTGACTCGAGACATCGTCTCGCGGAAACCTTAAAATGGGCTTCCAAGCATGCAAAGAGGTCCAAAGAGGAATCAAAGATAAACATCCGATTGAAGTACTTAAGCGTAGTACGTACGTACGTACTTAAGTACCTTTGAAAACCGAAGCACAGTAATGCTCACATTACTGCTTGGCGGCAGAAATAGGTTAAGGTGGCAGTACTTTCATCGAGGAACTCTTTAGTAGGTAAGTATTGTAATAGCCATTATGTTGTCATCACAAGGCCGTGAGGCTTGTTTGTAGCTTTTAATGCCTGCGTGGAATTAAACTAAGATGTTTTTTTTGGATTGATATACAAAATACTATATGTACATTGACTTACAATTATATGGACGTCGGGTCCGCGCTAAAAAGTGTCCGCACTTGTAAGGCGCTAAAATCGTATACAGAGCGCGACACTCCGCTTTAGTCTTCATTTGTTCTACTGACAGTGCGATACTGCGATGACATTACAATTTAAATTTCGAATAGGTTGACTTGGGACATTTTTTTCGTGGTTTTTGTATTAGACCCGTCGTCCATTTATTTGTAAGTCAATGTATATATAAGAAAGTTTATACATATGTCGGCGAATTACTTTTTCGAATAGTGATGCGAGTGACTTCACCTCGGTGTTACATAAACCATCAGCTACACTTAGGTAGGTAGGTATATTCTATTATAGACGAGTGTAAAAAGCGGTTGCAATCATAATAAGTACATAATGGAGACAATCTTTGCAATAGTGCACGGTTGTATTTTTCCGTAAATAGGGGAGCGTGGGGGAATGGGAGCCTACTAAGGAAAATTGATAATAAAAGTAATAATTTAAGCAATTAAAATTTTTGTTAAATTATGAATGTACGCTTCACATATCTGGGTACTAGATAATCACAGAAAAAATGTGAATTCAAAATATAATATTTGGTTAAAAAGAAAAAACTAAAACATGTCATTTGCTCCCATTATCCCACAGTTCAGGAAATGGGAGCCGGTAATAATCCCGTATGTCAAATGGGAGCCATTTTATATAATATCTGAAAAAAAATTAAAGCATTAAAATATATAAGTTAAAAAGTAATGAGAATAAACAAGAAAGTGTTAAAGGAATAGCCAGTGAACATTGCGTTGGGATAACGAGAGCCAAATAGCTCTCATCACCCGCGCAACATCGAATTGAAAAAGGAATAAAACAGTAAAAACAATTCTATTTTTATTGTGATTTCAAGCATAACTTCTAAGTTTGATAGGTATGCTGACATAGCTAGTGTAAATACAATGTAGTATCTATGCATTTTAATGCTTTCCTGGGATGATGCAAATAAGCGCGGAGCGAAAAACACGCAACCATCTCATACGACTAAACGCGGGGTTCTAGGGGGCGCCCACAGAACTCGAACCTTGGCGAAACTTAACGAACCTTAACGAAGACAGGAGTGCCGTTTGCACAAATACGAGCATTGGGAAGAACGTCCAGTTCAACACCGCTCTCGTTACCCGCGAGCTCCCGATACCCCACGTTCCCTTACTTTTTGTACTTCGTGGTCTTTTTCATTACTTTAGGAATAAATAACAGCATACAACAGATTAAATAAGCAGTTTTATTAGACTTCTATTTAAGTATATTGTATAGTTTTATTATAATTGTTATAAGTTTATACTTATTCTTAGACAACTTGTAGGTGTCGAATCTTCATCCAAATCCACTTTTGTTGTACTAAAGGCCTATTCCACTAGTCCCTGAGGTGACACTCTGTGTCACCTCTGGTGGGGACATAAATACTGTAACAATAATATGTGATGTACTACTCACATAATACGTCCTCGTCTAAATGTGTTACAAGTTTCTGATAAGCTGGGACCC